GGAGCGCACAAAACCTGTGCGGGGCGCGGGGCCGGGGGCTCAGGCCCCCACGCCGGCGGCCTCCCCGACCTGGACCCCACGCCGGCGGCCTCCCCGACCTGGACCCCACGCCCGCGGCCTCCCCAGACCCCACGCCGGCGGCCTCCCCAGACCTGGACCCCACGCCGGCGGCCTTCCCGACCTGGACCCCACGCCCGCGGCCTCCCAGACCTGGACCCCGCGCCCGCGGCCTCCCCGACCTGGACCCCGCGCCCGCGGCCTCCCCAGACCTGGACCCCACGCCGGCGGCCTCCCCAGACCTGGACCCCACGCCGGCGGCCTCCCCGACCTGGGTTCAAGCCTCATGCACCTAGATACAAGTGGGGTACAAATGTATGTATCCACACACACCCTAACACAGTGCTGCGGCACTCCATGTGGGAAAATTAGATAAGTGCAATTTCTTTTTCTTTTTTTTGGAGGGGCCATGGGTCTTGAACACTGGGCCTGGGCGCTGTCCCGCAGCTCTTCAGCTTAAGATGAGCACTCTACCACTTCAGCCACAGGCCCACTTCCAGTTTTCTGGTGGCTCATTGGAGATAAGAGTTTCACGGACTTACCTGCCTAGGCTGGCTTTGAACCATGATCCTCAGATCTCAGCTTTCTGAGTAGCTAGGATTGCAGGCGTGAGCCACCAGTGCCCAGCTATAAGTGCAATTTCTTAAAAAAGGGTCTGGAGGCCTGTGCATACCTGGTACTCCTGATTTTCCTTCCTGTTCTCCATTGTCTGAAAGAGTTCTTTGCGCAGTCTTGGAATGAGGCCCTTTTTTGCCCTGAACCCCATCATGGAGTAGCTTTTTCCAGAGCAGGTCTGGCCATAGGCCAGGACGCGGCATTGTAGCCCTGCCAGGCATTGTGGAAGATTCCTCTTCCGATGTCATAGAAGACCTCTCTCTGGAAAGAGGGTGGCAGGGTCACCAGACTTGGTTCTAAAGCACTCCCAAATGTGTGCATGTACACCAACCCACTCATGCACACGTGCACACGCACACGCACATGCACACACACACACACACACGGCGCAATGCCGTGGTGTTGTCAGCATGTCCCCCACGGGGTGAGGACTGGGCCCCCAGCGGGTATTATCAGGAGTGAAGGGACCTGCAAGAGGCAGAGCCTGGCTGGATTTTGTGTCACTGGAGCCTGGGGTTGTGGACCCGACGCGCTCTCTCTCTCTCTTTTTTTTTGCTGGTGGTGGGACCTGAACTCTGGACCTGGGCGCTGTCCCTCAACTCTTCAGCTCAAGGCTAGAGCTCTACCACTTGAGCTACAGCACAACTTCTGGCTTTTTCTGCTTATGTGGTGTTGAGGAATGGAACCCAGGGCCTCAGGCATGCAAGGCAAGCACTCTACCACTGAGCCACCTTCCCAGCCCGACATTTCCTCTCTTATTTCTCCCGTAAGTAGGGTGGTTTTGCAGTCACTACCCTCCTTCCTCCCCCAAAGAAACCTTGTTTCTTTTCTTTTGTGGTCATGGGGCTTGAACTCAGGGCCTGGGCGCTGTCCCTGAGCTCTTTTTGCTCAAGGCTAGCACTTGGCCACTTTGAGCCACAGCTCCACTTTTGGCTTTCTGGTGGTTAACTGGAGATTAGAGTCTCATGGACTTTACTGCCCCAACTGGTTTCCAACCGTGACCTTCAGATCTCAACCTCCTGAGTAGGAAGGATTGCAGGTGTGAGCCACCAGCGTCCATCTTTCCAGTTTTCGTTTTAGTGATGGTTCTGTAGCAGTCTGTTTCCCTTTCAGGGAGGATGAGGGTTGAGATTTTTGTGGCCAGAGTGTAGAATGACTTCTGAGACTATGTTCATGATCTTCCTTGATGTGCACTGGAGCTGCTGGAGGTTGCATGACCTGGTGCTGTAAGAGATGGGGTGGAGGGTGGAGGATTCCACCCCCTTTCTGGTTGTTGGAACTCAGGGCCCCATACCTTGCTAGGCAGATGCTCTTCTGCTGGGGGATGTCACCACCTCCTTTTTTGCTGTTATTTTGAGATAGGATCTTTTTTTTTTTTTTTGACCTGGACCTTCATTCACATAGTTTAGACTTCCTGTCATAGTTGGGATGACAAGCACTTGTCCCCATCTCTGTTAAAATGGTAGTGCTCTCTCTCCCACTTCCTTTCCCTCTCCAGATTGGCATTAAATATAGATCCTCTGGATCTCAGCCTTCCATGTAGGAGGGATTGTAGGCATGAACCACTAGTGCCCATTTCAGATGTCTTTTATGAAGCCAGGCATCACAGAGATTACGAAGAGAATAAAATAATAACATTCATTGTAGCTGGGATGGCAGGCATGCACCAGCTTCTTCCATTCAGATGGAGTCTCATGGGTTTTTCTGCATGAGCTGGACCCACATTCCTCGATTTCAGTTTCTCACATATCTAGGTGATAGGTGCATACTAACATGCCCAGCTAATGGTTGGGTAGGATATCTTGAAAACTTTTTTCCAGGGTGGCCTTGAACTACTTTCCTCCAGTTTTCAGCCTCCCACATAGTTGGGATTACAGGATTACAGGAAACCACCATGCCTGGAGGTATCCCTTAACATTGCCTATTTCCATAAACCAGACCCTATCTCATCAGCTTTAGGACAGAACTGGATATAGCATGTAACAAGTGCTTAGCCAGCACACTTCTCAAAGGCAGAGGCCTTCACAAGTTTCTCTGGTTTTCTAGGCTGGGGATGCTATGCGCCACTTGTCTTTCTGAAAACGCAGCCAGCTGACTGGGATGTATTCAGGCAACAGCAGTACCTTTGGACCTCGTGTTCACCTTGAGAAAAGGAATACCTTAGACTAGTATGCCAGGTCAAAGGTGACGGTGTTCACATGCTCTGGGTTTTTGTATAGTGATGGTAGTTCTGGAATTACACATTTGCTCCCACAGTTCTTCTCTCTAGTCAGATCACAGACCCAGAGTCAATCACATTTTCCTTGTTATACAAATTAATTATTTCAGGTCTCTTCCAGTGTAATTGTCTATACTGAAGGATATTGGTCACTCAAAGATCGAAGCTTTGATACATGTTACAACACGGATGGGCTGTAAAAACTCGCTTAGCGCAGGAGGCCAGGATGAGCTCCCCTGGCTCCATCCACAGGAAGCGTCACAGCAGCATCTGGGGTAACAACACCCGTTACTGCTTAGGGAGGGGAAGCAGGCAGGGTCAGAGGGAGGGTAGCTTCCTTCTTGAAGTGATCAAGTGCACTCAAATCAATTGTGGTTATAGCTATATACATCTGAGAGCGCATTCACCACTGATTATCACAGCATCAGTAATTGTTTGGGAAAAAAAGTTGTCAGCTATTTTACCAGATAGGTGTACATGCTGCTTAAGAAAGTGCCATTAGCTGGGCCTCATGCCTAAGATGGTGGCTTATGTCTGTAAATCCTTGCTGTAAATCTTTGTTACTCAGGAGGCTGAGATCTGAGGATCGAAGTTCAAAGCTACCCAGGACAGGAAAGTCCCTGAGACTCTTATCTCCAATTAACTACCAAGACTGGAGGTGGAACTGTGGCTCAAGGTAGTAGTGTTACCCTTGAGCAAAAAAAGCTCAGGAAGGTCACCCTGGCCCAGAGTTCAAGCCCCAGGACTAGCACCAAAATGAAAGAAGAGAGATACCTCAAAGTCAGTTCTGACTCAACAATGAAGATTAAGTCTAGCAACAGAGTTAAATTAGACAACATACGGGTCACCCAGGTGCTGTAAATGGCAAGAGCTTATTTTTATTCATGATACTAATTTTGAAGTTTTCTACTTTTCAAGTTTGATCTGCCAAGTGTATACTGGTGGCAAGCCCAGCACATGGGCGGCTGAGGCTGGTCTGGATTCTGTGAGACTTTGGCTTGTTTTTGTGTTCTTACTGTGAGGCAAATGGTTGGAACTGCAGTGACCTGAACTAGCATGTGCTGGGTCCGCTTGCTCCTCCCCTCCCCCTACACCCCTTGCAGAGCCCCTTCCAGTGTCACTGAAGGGGGTTAGAGATGGTTTACTCTCTTACAGGGGCCAAACATTTACTTTAGTGGCCACCAATTGTTTTGATGCATTATTACCAGTTGCCTAAGAAGCCATGCACCATGCATATGCACGTTAGTCTCAATAGCAGCTGCTTGGGTTACACAGCCTGCTTGCTGCCCAGCCACCGGAAACCCCTCCTCAGCAACAGACGAATGTAGAGGCACAGGGCAGGAGGAGACCGAGTGAAAATGCAAAGCTGTGCTTGTACAGACCAGAAACACCAGGCTGGGAAGGTGGGTACCCCACCAAAGGGACATGTGTGTGGCAACAGTCCCAACATCACACTTCCATCTAGAAACCATGCCCAGTGCTCTGGGTGCCGTTACCTCAGTGCCGCACCACACAAACCTTCCTAACACATGACCGTCAGTCTCACACAGGAGGCTTTAAGAGGCCGGAGAAAAAATGATTTCCTTTCTGCTTTCAGTAGCTGCTAATGTTTGTTCCATGACAGTGTAAAGTCTTGCCAGGCAAGTGGTTGTCACACTACCTTAAAATCTAATGAGGCACTGCTCACTGTAGGATCCTGCAGAGCCTACCTGATGTTATCCTAAAATGCAGCAGGGTTTATAAAAACCTCTAAGTACATTCTATATACATTCAAAGTATAGAATACACTGGGCTCTATGGTGCACACCTATAATCCCAGCACTCAGGTGGTTGAGGCAGGAGGATCTCAAACTCCAGGCCAGCCTGGACTACTAGTAGACCTGATTCAAACAAAAACTAAAGCCAACACCGATGCTGCTGGAGTTCATGTTGCTAATTCATGCAGCAATTTTTTCTTTGGAAACACATTTATACATCAATTCAATAAAATATGGAGGGATCAGCCAAGTGTGGTATATGCCAGCACTTGAGAAGCTGGGGCAGGGTTGGAGTTCAGTGCCAGCGTGGCCACACAGACTCCTGTCTCAAAAAATAGGGACAGCATAATTTGTGTCAATTTTCTTTTTATTGTACTACTTGTGCCAAGGAATAGAAACTGTGCAATATGTTTAAGATCAGTTATTTAACAAATTCATTTAAGAGTTTAATATTCCATAAAAGACAAGCAGCTTAAATACAAATTTTGTGACTATCATTAAAAAAGTTAGTAAAATTGCAGTCAGCGATGCTTCCGAGGAGGCGACACGCGACACCACTGACCTGACCTGACCGAAGGGCCGCACGCGCATGGCCACTTTATGTCACTGGGCGTCGGCTGCTTCCCCACACCCGCCCTCTCCATGCTGCAAGGCGAGCAGAGCAGAGCCTTGTGCTTCACACTGAAAAGCTGATGCAAGCAGCTGTGTCTAGGTGATTCATTATTTAACGGTCCATTCATCAGACACTATCAGTTACTTGTTCTAACTTACACTGACTTATTGATGAATTTCCACAGCCCACACAAAGGATCAGGACCTCCCCGCAAGCAACTGTCTCAGCCTGACTCTGTGACCACCTGCCAATTTAAAATTCCCATGCTTTGGGAGTCACTTCCTTCCTGGGAAGACTTGTAAAATCTGTCCAGACTGCTCTTCCTGATTTTTAGGCACGCAACACATTTTATTTTACATTTCTCAAATCCTGTCATGATTTTGCTAATAAGCAGTGAACCGGTCAATCTAACCTGGATAATTAGTCTCTGACTTAAGAGACCGTAGAGATAAATAGTCTTTAAGCTCACTGAATAAGAAATGTCAACATTACAGTAAAAACAATGCATTACTCTTGAGGTAGATTACACAAAATTTGGGAAACTACAAAAAGGCGTCAAAATTACATGCCCATAATTCAATGTCAACATAGTAACAGGCAAAACCAACCAATAAAAATACATGATGGTTAGAAATCTTAATCACAGAATCAAAGTGCATAAATTATAAAATAACTTTAAAAAATAGGTCAATAGTTCATCCTCATTTTAAGATTGGTCTAATACTTGTGATAGAGAGAGAAAATGGGACAAATGACTACTAGCATATAAAATCATTAAAACAATTTTATCTCAAAAATCTAACACACACAAATTGTATAATTTACAGTAGTTTATTAAACATTCCAATAAGCTGTATTCACATAGTATATAAATGTATGAAGTCTTAATATAAAATAGAAAAATGCCTAGACTAAAAGAATCACACTCCATATGGAGTTACTTTACTTATTGAAGACTTTGTTTACAAAAATTTACAATAATTTATATAAATTATTTTCCAAATTAGATCACTTTAATCCACACAATTCTGAGGCCTTTATAAATGGGTGTACGTTAAAATCTTAGAAAAACTTAGAGCATTTTCCTGCGCAAAATCTGCTTTGGAAAAGCAGCCGGCTTCTTTCTGCCCCTCCCGAGGGCTTTCCCGGACACGTCCACAGGCTTTCTTGCTTTGCTCTTTCCTTCCCCAGCTGGACTGGCCAAGGGAGAAAGCAGCTTTATTTCCACTGGAGGAGGAGACCAAGACCTTCCTCTTTCCTTGTTTCTGAAAAAGGATACAATTGGGTATGAACACAAACATCTGACACATACTGTGATGACAGAACCCTTGGGGTGACCCTGCCACACACTTCCACCTCTAAGTTTCCAAGGAAGTGAGGTGCAGCCATGTGACCCAAACATCTCACTACATTTCCTGCAGAGACAGAACACTGCCAGGCTGCAAGGATGGGCCAAGTCCTGGTCATCCATCCCTGGGGCAGAGCCTCGCAGAGCCCAAGCAGACTCTGAAATAGCAGTTGTCAAACACTGGCAACCGGCAAACCACATAGTGCCCAGGTGCAAGCCAAGTAAGTCACTCTTCAGCGAACAGGACCTTCTGTCCAGTTTCCTTATGTTAGATTTAAAACGAAGAGAGACTTCTATCTACCTACAACGCAGCCAGCTCCCCTGTGGACGCATTGTTACGGACAGCAGTGAAGGAGTGCAGGATTTAAAAGGTCCCCATCACTCACGGTCACCACCTGTCCCCATGGACAGGCAAGTACCACACTTCCTTCCATATCCAGTGGGCATGACACCATCAGAGGATGGTGGTGTGGCTCACGTGGCAGAGCACTGCCCTTGCGAGATCAAGGCACTGAGTTTGAACTAGCATAGGTGCGGAGCAAGGGTCTTCCTGCCCCTCTAGGAGAGCTCCAAGCCTCAAGTGACATCTCTCCTCAAGGGACCAGGGCGACAGGATGGCCCTGGTGATGACGCACGTGCAGGCCAAGCAGTCACACTCACCTATTTGCCTCTTTTCTCTTCATAGTCCTGGCTCGCTTCACTTTTTGCTCTTCTACAACTTCCACTGATTGAGTGTCATCTTCCTATGGTTGAAAAAAAGGACACATCTTAATTCAAAAGCTGGACCCCAGGTCAAGGCCAAATGCTAACTGTCCTCCAGTGGTAAGAGGGCTAGCCTTGAGCCAGAAAGCTCAGGCCGAGTTTATGACCCAGTACAAGCACAAAAGTAAACAACCAAGATCAACGGAAACCAAACACTGCTAATACAAGTCCCTCCTCTGATTCTCAACAGAGAGACCACACCATCTCTGTTCCTTCTCCAGGTCTTGCCTTTTATCCTGTCACTTCTCATGTCCCTGAGGTTCTTTCGGCTGTCCTAGATGCAAATTCAGTCTCTGCCCTTGTGCAGGGGTCAGGCCAGCCTTCGCAGAAACCACTTAGAGCACTGGTGCTACTTGGTGCAGTGGACCCCTGGGAGGATAGCAGGGCCATCTCCTCTTTTGTCCAGAGGTGCTCTGCAGTGGCTCTTATCAGCCAGTTGACCATCAACCAAAGTACGCATTTCAAATGACCAGTTTTGGCCAGTCCTGGGGCTTGAACTCAGGGCCTGGGCACTGTCCCTGAGCTTCTTTTGCTCAATGCTAGCACTCTACCACTTCTGATTTTTTCTGTGTATGTATTACTGAGGAATCGAATCCAGGGCTTCATGCATGCTAGACAAGCACTCTACCCAGCCCCAATGTTAATTTATTGGCGGGGGGAAGCATGTGCCTTACACTTGGCTATACTGCTTGAACCACATCCTAGTCCTCTGATTTGCTTCTTCAGGTAGTCTTGCATGTCTGTCCAGCAACAGCCTCAGTCCTCCTACCAATAGTCTCTTCATGGGTGCAGACCTGAGCCATGCACTACACTCTGTTCCAAGTTAAATAGCTATTTGCCAGGGCTGATCTTGAACTTAAACCTGCCCAATCTTCACCTCTAGTTTGGATTACAGGCATAAACACTATTTTGAGTTTTTTTTTTTTTGGGTCCAGTCGTGCGGCCTGAACTCTGGGCCTGGGTGCTGTCCCTCAGCTCTTCAGCTCAAGGCTAGCGCTCTACCACTTGAGCCACAGTGCCACTTCCGGCTTTTTTCTTTTTGCTTATGTGGTGCTGAGGAATCGAACCCAGGGCCTCAGGCATGCAAAGCAAGCACTCTACCATTGAGCCACCTTCCCAGCCCCCCTTTTGAGTTATTTTTATGTAAGCCTTTGCATACAAATGATTCATAGTAGATAGATAGCTGAATGAATGGTTGTAAATTAGCCTTCATGGGCAGAAGCAATGGACACTCAGTCCCAGAAGAATGCCTATTTAGGGCTCTCTGAGTTCAGGCTACTCTACTAACTCCATCCTGCCTCAGGCTGCTCTGAACCCAACATGCTCTGTCACTCTGATAGCAATGAAATGTAGTTGATAAGTAAGTGACACTTGCTGCGAGTTAATATATTACCTGCCTAAGAGACAGAGGGAGATTCTATTTCAAAGTAGGTCTAGCAAATACACAAATGAAACCACAGCTCCTTACCAGCTCATTTACAATCTTAGATGCACTTGAGGTGTATTTTCGCCTGGTCCTCAAAGCAGGAGGTGAGAAGGCAAACTGAGAAGAAAAATCAGAAACTAATTCCTGCAGCTGGGCGGGAGTCTTCGTTCCATCAGCTAAAGAAAGAGTTGGGAACACAGACATCACATCTGTATCTTTAAAGTGCAGGTAATCCTAACTTATTACTAAAAAAATCCCATTAGGATAACTGGTAATTTTGCCCTGTAAGATAGGTTCTCAGGCAGGCACGAAAGCCGGTCACTCCTTAGTCACCTGACACCTGTCTTGGGAGGCCTGGGGGGCGTACCCATTCCACACACCCGGCCTGAAAGATATGGGCTGTAACTTACCTAATTGCATAGTAATTCTTCATTTTAAGAGGAAAAAAAAAAACCCTCATTTGCAAAGAAGAGATTCTTTTTTTTTTTTTGGTCGTGGGGCTTGAATTCTGGGCCTGGGTGCTGTCCCTGTGCTCTTCAGCTCAAGGCGAGAGCTCTACTTCTGGTTATCTAGTGGTTTATTGGAGGTAAGAGTCCCACAAACTCTTCTGCCCTGGCTGGCTTTGAACCATAATCCTCATATCTCAGTTTCCTGAGTAGCTAAGATTACAGACCTGAGCCACCGGCGCCCAGCTAGATTCCATTTTTTTTCTTTTGTTTTTTTTTGGTGCTGGTACTGGGGCTCTTGCTTTTTCCACTCAAGACTAGTGCTTTACCACTTGAACCACAGTTCTATTTCTGCCTTTCAGGTGGTTAAATGGACCAGTCTCTCTTTTTTTTAAAACTGCCCTGGCCGGCTTTTAATCATGATCCTCAGATCTCAGCCACCCGAGCAGCTAGGATCCCATGTGTGAGCCTACAGCGCCACCTCAACCATCTTATTCTGATGTTTGTTCCAGTTCAAAGGGAACAGTAGAAAAATTCATGTCACATACACAAAATAAAGAAAAATGACTTCAGAAAGATATCACACAACGTTTAAGCCTGGTGCTATAGCTCAGGCCCATGACCTAGCTAACAGAGTCTCCCTTTCTGACAGCTGGGTACAATGGTGAGTGCCTGCGTGGGGCTGGGAGTAGATCCGGTCCAGCCTGGGGAGAGAGGCTCAGCTCTGCTGAATCCAGCCAGGTGAGGTAGGGTAGTGCCCAGCTGTTACCCTGTCGGTGACAGGAGACCTGAGACAGGACTGCGCTCTGGACTTGCAGGGATGGAGTCTCCATCTCAAATTAAGAGCAAGGCAGTGTTAGAGGCAGGGCTCAAGTGGCACAGCACCTGCCTAGCAAATTCAAAGGTCTAACCCCTACTGCAGTTCAGTCCCAGGACCTACCCACCCCCCAGAATTGGCTTAAAATATACAATGAAACACACTGACCATACAGACTCTTCACAATAAAGTAGAACAAAGCCATTACAAAGACATTTTTGTTATTTGTTATACTGTTTTAAAAATACAATTTAAACTCTCTCTCGCAGGTGTAGGGGCACATGCCTATGATCTTGGGATTATAGGATCTTATCAAGCTCAAGGCCACCAAGACTGTCTCACAAAGCAAAAATGAATACAACTTACAAACCCTTAATAGCAAATGTTCACATTACAGTTCACAATGCTGTTTCACTTTTCAGACAGCAAGTCTGAGTATGAACCTAACAAAAATCTAGTATATGTAAAAATGTTTAGCCTCCACACTGAGGCCACTTTATTGTACTGCCTGTTATGTCCACCTTCACCCATGTCCTCAAGCTTTCCTGAGGCTGGACACACTCTGAGTTAAGTTCAAAAGACCTAGGCTGGAACTCAGTAGTGTGAGGGGGAGGTGGGAGCAGCTCTGCCGGTCCCTCTGCAAGGGCTACTGTGTGGGAAGCAGAGAACTGATGAATGAGATCATCTAGGATAGCTATGGGCACATAACAGGCCCTCCTTAATATCTGCTGTTGAAAGTAGAAACTGGAGAATATTTAATAAGATGTCATAGATACCCGTTTGTCAGATTTCAACTAGAGAAAATTATCAGTGATTCTACAGGTAACTACACAACAACCAAGACTGGTAATATTTCTAAATATCCTCTCCTCTGAATCTCCCTCAGTGGATTTTAAAGGCAGTTTAGACAGGTATCAGGCAAGAAAGGAGTACCAGTGAAAAGAGTAACTGCAGATCTGGGCACTAGTGGCTCCTATCTGTAATCCCAGCTACCCAAGAGGCTGAGACCTGGAGGGTCAAAGTCCAAGGTCAGTTGGGGCAGAAAAGTTCACTAGTTATCTTTAACACGCCACCAAAAAGCAGGGCCCCGAGTTCCAACTCCAATACTGCCAAAAAAAGAAACACATGCAACAAAATAGGGCTCAGAAAGGTTAAATGACCTTCTGCTCGCTCAGCTAATGACATTTCCAACTCTACAGCTCTTTCTGAGGCCCTGCATATGCTGCTCTGGGTATGCTGAGCTACATACCCATCCTGCCTCCCCCTCTTTGGTGGTCCTGTGGCTTGAATGCTCAGCCTCAAGCACTCAGAACTTATTACTGAGCCAAGACTCTGTTTCCACTGGTTAATTAGGGGTCTTACCTCCTGACCAGGCACAGGCCCAATCTGCCTATGTGAGGTTTCCTGGCATAGCTAGGCATCACTGTGTTCAGTCTCTAATGAGGAAAGGTCTCAAGTCTTCCCTTCTTTCCTCCTGAGTCCCAACCTCAGCTTGCCAAGTAACGAGGATCACATGTTTAAGATCAGCACCCAGCCAGCCCTTGATTTCTTGAGAGGGCCTCATTGCATAGCCCCAGCTAGCCTTGTACTTTTGAGCTTCCTGTCTTTGCTTTCCAAGTGCCCAGCAGAATCCCAATTTTGTTACCACCTCTAACAACATCATCTCAGACTAGAAAGTGCGTATCTGCAACCTAATGCCGCCGTATATGGACTTTTTATCAACAGGCGAGAAACCCCTAAAATGAGAAAGAAAAACTAAAGGCCATTTATGCTTAGGGTTCTGAGGAATGAAGAAGGGGAAATACACAAACTGAGGTTTGTCTTTATGAGACCATGTCTCATTAGGCTGGTCTCCAACTCACCCTAATCCTCCTGCCTCAGCCTTCCCAGGAAGTACTGGGATTACAGGTGTGGACCAACACACTGTTTCATTTTGCTTTTTAAGCAAATAAAATGGTAGGACAGACAGGCGAATGTGAATAGCACTTAGTGGTTCTCTAGAAAGCTAGATGACATGTACTATTTTCACTAACAGGGAAAATTATTCTGAATCATTTTATAGGTAACTACATAAAGATGACCAAGAGCAGAATAAGAAATGTTGGCTATGCTATGCCAAAGTCACTCAGGATTTTGAATTCACTATACTTGGTGTCCTAAGTACTGTAAACCTTTATAATAAAAAGTAAAAAAAAAAAGGCATTGGTAGAAAGCAATTTCTTCAGAATCGCAATGAAAGTGAAATACGGTACTACTACCATCAAAAGCTCTGGCGAAAAGTAAGTGGTATGTGTCTGTGCGCCACTCAGCACAAGCGTCGGCAGAGCGTGGAGATGGGCGCTGCGGGGTCAAAACCAGCCCAAACATTAGAATACATTTGATATGCTGGGCATAAGAGTGTTGGAGATAAACTGCACTTAGCAGAAATTTAGTTTAAATGGCTTATTTTCCTCCTGGCCTTCCTCAAATCAGAAGGCAACTATACAGAAGGTTTGTCAATGCTTTACACTGTCGAGGTGACAGCTTAATCGAGGATGGGGCAAGCACGCACCTGCTTTGCTGAATGGCAGCTGTGTACCCACCCCTCAGCAGCACCGTTCCCAAGAGCGTCCCTACAACTCACCACCATCTTAAGCACTCTTTGAGTACCTCTTCCTACCGGGACTGACACCTCTTCCCTCACCAACATCGCATCTCTCTGTCTGTGCACTCCACGCTCCATGGACACTTGTGCTCTATACACAGCGGCAAGGGGCACTTGCTCAGCAGGAGAGGCCCTACCTCTGGGGTCTGACCCACAACCACTCCACGGTCCCACCAGCCCATCAGGGACAAGGGAGATTGGCAAGCAGACAAGCCAACTAATAGGGAACACTGTGATTTCATTGTCTGCATATGCTGATTGGCAAACCACCAACAGCTCCTTTCAGACCATCGGGGCTGTCACTAGACGTGAACCCATGAGAAGTGAATTCTAGCATGTGAAGTACATTTGAATCGTACTAATTCCTGAATCTTAAGATCCTCTGAAATTACAAATTGTTTCTTAGGATAAACAATCGGTACTCTAAATCAAAGCTCCCCTTCACAAAGACAATTCTTAGGCCAAGCATCCTGAATGATAAAAATATAAGTAAAAATAAAATTACCTTTTGCTTTCCTTGGAACCTTTGCTACAGGAGTAAATAAAGGCTCGTGTTTTGGTTCAGCAATGTCTGACAAAAGGGCCTTACTAGATCTAGTCCTTGTATTTGGGGAAGATTTACTAACAGCCGAGCTGACACGTGATCTTTTTCCTCCATCAGGTGGCTCTTGGTGTGTCTCTCCGTGTTGGTGGTCTTCTGATGCTGAGCCTAATGGATGTTTCTGGCTTTGATTTTCAGACTCCTCTGTGATCCTCTTCCTAGAACTTGTTACCACTGCAAATTCCTCATTTGGCACTGAAACAGAGTTTTCAAAAGCCGCTTTTGCAACATGAGTATTTTCATGCCTAGCTGGGGTGTTTCTTGTAGATCTTCGAACATTAACTACACCTCTCTTCTTAGAACTTCCCTCTTCCTTAACAGATCTGGACCCAGCATCTTCCGATGGATTTATTTTCCTGGGTCTTCCACGTTTCCTAGGTGTGAGGGGCACCTCAAGCTCTGCCGAGAGAGCCAGGGGGCATGGGTCACGTTCAGGAGCTTCTAGCACACTCAGCCTACTGACTCCTCCATCTCTGGCCCGTCTCCCCTGGAGGGGTAGCTGCGGGTCACTGTGCCCTCCATCCTGCCCCCATCCTGGGGTCGGAGGGGCTTCTGAAGTGGCTCTTCTCAACTTTTTGACAGTTCTGCTAGGACTTGGTAGTTTACTAACGGTTAGATCATTTGTAATTTCAGCCCCATGCTGATTTTCTATAGACTTTTTTGTTCTTCTAGGTGTTCCTTTTGTAAGATATGAAAGCTTCGCTTCTTTTCTAAGAGAAGTTTCTTCAGTTGGAGGTTCTGGCATCTCAGATCTTAACCTTTTTGGCCCCCTACCTGGAGCCATGTGTGACTCTGGCTCCCCAGCACCAGTGCTCTCTAGCGTATCCAGAAGAACTTCTTTCTTCCTCCTCCCTCTGCTGGGAGTCAGAGGTGTTTTCTGGCTCTGAGACAGTCTGGTTATATCAGCATAGGCATGTTCAGAGGCCGCCTCAGAAGTTTCTCTTGATTTTCGAGTCTTCCTCTTAGCTGGCAGTCCCGGAGTCTTAGAAGTAGCAATAGGTGCAGGCAACTGCTGCTCTGAGGAGAGATCCAGGCTCTGGACACGTTGCCTCCTCATGCGAGTTCTGGAGGAAATCATGTCATCGCTCTGGCTGACATCTGTAGCCACCGGACTTGTTTCCTGAACGGTCTTCAATGTAGGTTTGGCTGACTTGGAACGCGTCACCTTCTGGGGCATCAAAGGTATGTTTTCATGAATGGACTGTTCCACTGCATCTTTACTTCTTGTATCTTTAATTACATCTAATAAATTTTCCGCAATCACCGCTTTAATTGGTCCAGGGACATATGGTAGAGTCTCCAGCTTCTGGGCTCTGTGGTCACTGGTTGTGGCAGGTGGCACAACTGTGGCATGACCCTGATCCTCATCCTCCGCATCATTCACGTGTTCTTTCTTGGTGGTGTGTGCTGCCGCAGGCAACGGATCAGGTGCTGCCACAGAATCACCTGCATCTGCCTCTCCTTCTTCTCCTTCCAGTATCAAGGTGAAATTGCTCTGAGCCACAAAAAGTTCCCCATCTACTTCAGCAAGGTCACACTCCCCAGGGTCTTTATTATCAGGCAAGTCACAGAACTGCTGCTCAATAGTATCAAAATTATATTGAAGTTTAAGTGTTCCTGAGGGATATAACTCTTGAAATGAAAAATTTCTAGACTCGTCTTCTGAATTTTGAACTGCAAACTTATCATGTCCAACCACCTAAAATGAATTGAAGGTAAGAGAATGGTTAATCTAAGATATATTACAATATAAAGCTCAAAAGACTTAAAATGACCATCTCATTTTTAGCGTGCGCATTTTTAAACATAAACTATATTTGATAAATGGCAATATTAATAGGCTTACTTTATAAAATATCCCACTTAAACAATCAGATCTCACTCAAAGTAACTAGAAATAAACTTTGAGATTATGACTGGAACTAAACTAAAAATTCTCTATTTTCCTAGTAAAAAAAACCAAACCAACCAGTATTTATTAACAAAATCCTAAAAACTACTGGTTTTGATTAACTTAAGGACTTATTCTCCTCACCCAAGAAAAAAACAACCACAAAAAAAGAATAACCCACAAAATTATTAACAACAATCCCCAAACTACCTAATTATCCACACTTTTCTAAACAGCATGACCCCATAAGGTTGAAGAACAAGTCACCTACATAAGCTCCCTTGGGCTAGACTCAATCCTCTTCCCTTTGCTGGGGCTGCATAAACCATGAAATTCCTAAGGCTTTCAAGTTCAGTACCTCTCCTGCAAGGGTTTGGTGGAAGAAGGAATGGTCCTTGCATTTACCTTTTGGTAAGGGAGGGGGAGAAAAAGGAGGAGGTAGAAAGTAACAGAGAGATTGCCTGACCAAGAAGGTAGAACATTACCACCCACCTAGACAGAAACATTTTCACACTTCCCAAACATTCAGTGAGATGACAGGTGGTAAATAACCTGTGAATGAAGGTTCCCACTTATACCACACCCACATTTTTGCTTCCCAAAGGAAAGATAGAGAATTCAGCCATCTGTTTTCATAGTGAGAATACTCAGGAAGATCAATATGGGGTCAACTGTAACTTTTTGTATGTAATGGTTCTGGGGCTTGAACTTATTAGGACGCGACCTTGAGCTTTTTTTTTGCCCAAGGATATAGAGCTCTACCACGTGAGCCACAGCTCTGCTTCTGGCTTTTTGGTAAACTGGAGATACAAGTCTCAGACTTTCCTGCCCTGGCTGGGTTTGGACCACTATCCTCAGATCTCAGCCTCCTGAGAAGCTAGGATTACAGGCCTGAGACACCAGTGCCCAGTTCATCATAACATTTTTAAGCTAATAAATTCCCCAAATTCCATACAACTAGATTTCTGTAAATAGGAGTTGGTTTTTCCATCTTAAATACATTTATCATATGAGAAGTATCTTCATGATAAAAATTTTAGAAAAACAAGTCATATTTAAGCACTAGGAAAATCTTTGTGGAGCACAGAAATTGAACCTCAACCAGATAAGTATCTTTCTGTCACAGGTATGCCCTGGGGAAAATCTTGTCTATCTGAATTCACTTACTTCCACATACATGCCCTTGACACCCTGAAAATGTTATACTTGCTTCGTGAGTATGTTTTCCTATGGCTACGTAATAAGCTTTTACTTGAAGCAAATAATGAGCAAAAGATGAACTTGTTAATTTGTGGCTTTTAAAAGTCTTGGTTTTCATGAAAACTAATCTCTTAATGTGATCATATCACAAAATATTTCTACTTTCTATAAGTAGTCAAATTAAATGAATACATTTGAAGATTTGTACTATGTCTTGAAAACCCAACTAAACCAAAACTGTCAAAAGAAGTAAATAAATTAATTTTTTACATGAATTTCTTGAGAATCTGGAGGAATCTCAGAAATCTGAGGCTTTTCTTCTGGTAAGTCAATACTTTCTTTTAGTACGTCAGCTTCTATTTCATGATCTTTTACTTTAGGTGCTGTTTCCTGGTCAGGCCTATGCTCAGAGACCACAGGACTTTCTGAAGTGGAGAGCCCAGAACTTCCACTAGCAATGTCTGCTATGTCTGAAAGAGAAATGAGAGCCAATTTTATACATTGCAAACTGAGAAACATGCCCTACATAGACTTGAGAAAGGAATACACTGCACTGCTGTGACCCTCCGAGGGGAAGGCTTGCATGGACCCACATCCTAATTCATTTTTATCCATGCAATCCTGGAGCAAAGCCAGGTGGGCTCATTTATGATAGACGGGAAGGTTGAACAGTAGAAGCATGCTCTTCTAGAGTCAGAAAACAACTACATAAAAGATTAATTGTGAGCATCAAGTGAGTTACCACACCTGACTGCTTGTGAGGAAGAGACATTCTAGATGTCTGGAACTTAAATCAACTCTGAGCCCACCTAGGAAATATCTTCTCATCTCAGTACAAAGCTGGTGTCTAAAAAGAAGCACTTAAACAAAAAGCAATTAACTGGTTAAAAACCCAAGTGAATTCCTCATTTAATATCCTTGAGTAAACAGCTATGTACTGGAAATTTTCTCTATTCTTCTTTCATGCTCCAAAGGAAAACCTGAAAAATCCATTCTAAGATTCCCACTGTTAGAATTTCAAAATGCCAGCCAGGTGTCAGTGACACACCTTTAACCCCAGCTACTCTGGAGGCTGAGATCTGAGGATCATGGTTCAGAGCCAGCCTGAGTAGACAAATCCAAGAAACTGTAATCTCCTCTTAACCAGAAAAAAAAAAAAAAAAAAAAAAAAAACTAACAGCTAGATCCAGAGGTATTGTCAAGTGGAAGAACACCAGTTATGAGCTTAAAAACCGAGCAGGGACAGGAGGCAGAGTTTAAGCCCCTGAACTAGTGCTAAAAAAAAAAAAAGAAGAAAATTAAGGAATGAAGCCCCAGATAAAAGGTTCTTTTGTTCCTCAAGTAAAAAGTTTTACTCCAAATATTAAAGTAATCCTGAATTCAAAACCATACTTACTGCTGTCTGCTCTAACTGTAGAGGTGCAGGTTTCAACAGGTATTAATCCTTCATTCAAAACTGGTATCTTGGACACTGAAGGAAGCATTTTCCTTAGAAAGAGAAACAGAACCCTCAGTGTACAATAAGATCCCATGTCTGAGCCCTGCTGGCCGCAATGCTTATTATGTTTTTGATGAAAACCAAGGTTCAGAAAAGTGAGCATTTATTAGAGTTCATTTTGAATATTATAAAATTCATAAATAAATAATGCTGTACTTGTTTCTCCATGCCTTTTTTTTTGTTTTTGTTGGTCGTGGGGCTTGAACTCTGGGCCTGGGCGCTGTCCCTGAGCTTTTCAGCTCAAGGCAAGTGCTCTACCCCTTGAGCCACAGCACCACTTCCAGTTTTCTGATGGTTAATTGGAGATAAGAGTCTCAAGGACTTTCTGCCCAGGCTGGCTTTTTGAACAGTGATCCTCAGATCTCAGCTTCCTGAGTAGCTAGGATTACAGGTGTGAGCCACCAGCGCCTGGCTTCCATGTCTTTAAAGTAATGACAAAAAAACAGACCTAAATGCTATCAGTATAAACTACACTTAGGATAATGTTTAATAATCAGAGGGCCATATTCTTTCTAAGAGATCTGTTATGTATGGAGTATTCCCTATCTTAACAGGACCAAGTTAAGCAGTTTAATGCTAACCATAAAGACTATGAGAAATGATGTAGAATGGGAGATTATTGAAACCTGTGTTAAGTAACACAATAAGAAGTTGTTGATTATGTAAACAGCCATATTCAGAGCTGGCCTTTCTCTAAAGCTCAAAGAAGGATGTTGATTTTTAAAACCAGCACAAACAATATTATGTAGGAAACTCAAAGTATTTGAAATATATACCTATTTATACATGGCCATAGCAGAATTAACAACAAATCACATCATAGCCAATCAGTATATGCTTAGGTGAAGGAATTTTATATACGAGAGGTGATTATCATGACCCTGGACTTTGTGGGTTGTTTGTGAGGTAATTTATTAGTTGTCATAAAGCATTCAACCATTTAGTGTCTTGAGTTATATTTTATGTGGGTGAATTTTACTAACTCTACTTATTTTGGTAAGTAGACCTGTGATATTTTGGTATCATCTATAATAGTAACAGTCAAAGTGCTGAAATATAAATGTACCTTTTTTTTTTTTTTTTGGTGCTGGTTTGGGGCTTGAAACTCAGGGCCTAGGTGCTATCCCTGAGCTTCTTGCTCTACCACAGTGGAGCTGCTCCACTGATTTTTTTTTTTAGTAGTTTTAGTGGAGATAAGAGTCAGACTTTCCTGCCTAGGCTGACTTTAAACCATTATCCTCAGATCTTAGCCTCCTAAACTAGCTAGGATTACAGGCATGAGCTACCAGCGCTCTAGTCTTAAATGAGGCAAGGAGCTTTTGTGACTGTGAAATTATTTTCCTAATCCTACTATTATATTTGCTATTTGTCCTAAATTTAGCAAACTGGGAACTGAAACTATGTTCCACCATGTTTTGTTTTAGTGCAGAAATCCAGTCTTGAAATTGGGACAAGGAGCTTTCTGATGGATCATACTAAGATGTTTGCTGCTCATTTTAAATCAGGCAAGAAACTAGGATCTGGAACCATGTGGTCCACTATGTTGTGTTTTAGGGCTGGGGGTCTCACTACATAGCCAGGACTGTCCTACAATTTCACACCTTCTGGCTGTCTGATGTCTGAGTGCTAGGACTGTGCACCGCCACCTCCTACCTCGAGCCACATCTCCAACCTTGTTTTGCTGTAAGTCTTTCTTCAAGTAAGTTCTTACATTTCTGACCTGGGACAGCTAAGATTGCCATCTTCCTACCTATAGCCTCCAGATGGCCAGCTTCGCAGGCAGGCATCACTGCTGAGACCAACACTTTAAATAACTGGCACTGGCCTACATCATCTAGCACAGTGTTGATGAAATTATTTGGAAGAATAACATTTCCAGTAGTGAATCTAGTATCAACCAAATGGCGAGGAACAAAACTATCACTGAGACATCTTCCTAGTGTTCCGCTCTGCTCTGAAAGGAGCCTTTTGGCTGTTGATCCTTGAGCTACTACAGGGAGAAAGCATGGAGAGCGCCACGCTGTGAGTGGTACTCTCACCACCAAAGAACACTGAAAGAGCCTGCCCTCAACACCCGGCCCTGTACTCGGACATATGTCTAGTGTCAATGTAAGGTTTTATAGCAATTACTGAGCTATAAAAAGATGTACTGAATATACAAGCAAGCTTCTAGCACCAATCATTACCAGCGTGGAGCAGTGCAAGCACGCTCCAACAGGTTTAGGATATTCTACTAATCTTTAAAAAGCACCGCATCTGTCTCTACAAACTTACCCTTCATGGACTGATGACACACCAAGAGAAGCTCCAACTCCTTGAATGGGACTTAAATTATGTAATTCTGAAATTGCCTCCTCTTCCACAGTGCCTGCCAATCACAAGTCACAAGTAAGATTATTACACCAAATGTTCTATGACTACTCAGTCTACTACTTTTTAAGACAATGTTCCTACTTTTTGTTCTTTTCTATTTATTTCTTTAGGATCAGGATGCTAGCAGTTCCTTTTTCTACCTCTAGTTTCAAAATACCCTCCCCCTCAAATTTGACAGTACTGCAAGGGTACATGTTCCACATATATTACTCTTGGTGGCAGGTACTCATCACCCAAGAAGGCTGACAAAAGAGAAGCACAAGGTGGAAAAGATTCAGTTAGAACTCTGAGGAATATCAACGGCAGTTCTGAGTAAATGGGAATGAGTTCTTACCTATTTGTTTCTCCACATCTGAAGAAATCACTTCTGATTCAGACTCGTCTTTACCACAGTCCTCAGTCTGATTAGTAATCAGTCCGCTGGAAGAGTCGGCTGGCTTGGAGGACATGAACACACTATCGTCCAGGTCTCCGGGTGATGGGGCATCCTGATACTCTAGGGTCGTCTGGTCAGATCTAGCTGACACACTGCTGTTTTCTTTGCTCACATCCAGTTTCTCCACACCTTGTGAGGGTGTACTCTGTGATCCGGAATCCATTCCCTCCTCATCCTTTGCAGGGATATTCAGAGAAAAGGATGTGTTTTTATCTTTGCTCTTTAGCCATTCAGTTTCTGCTGGAAAGTCACATTTATGGAAAGCCTGGTAAGATTACAGAAAAAAAATTAAAATGAGTCATCTTAAGCTATTTGTTCTAATCACATCCACATTTTTCCTGCTCTGAGTTTCTTCAAATTCTCTTTTAACTGTTCAAAATTCATTCTCTTCAGATAACAAAATTAAAGACTAACAATTGTTAATGGCAAATATGTCATTAATTTCAGACTAAAATAGAATAGGCTAAATGATCAATAATTACCAAGTGACTGGGTTACTATTAATTTACAGTAAATCTCCTAAGGCATATCCAACTAAATATAAAACCAATTAGTAACAAGTAGCAAGATCACAGTGGAAAAAGCAAAATGAACTCCCATGGACTGAAAACTAGGAAGTTGAATTTCTTGCCTTTAACTTGTGTGCTGGTAGATTTGGCCTGGCCAGTGCCCTAATGTTTCCTAATTCAAGACTATCTGCAAGACTATATAAAGACTCGTAGGAGCAAATGCATTTTGTTAGCTCTTTTTTCCTAATACCAAACTTACTCCAGCAGTCCATTTTGTGTTCATGCTTTCTTCCATGAATGAGATTCTAGTTTCTTTAAGTCGCAAAGGTGGAGACAGAGACCTTCCTGGTGACAGAGATGGAGATGCTAAAGGTGTCGTTCGCAGACCAGACCTTAGGATGGACGGAGGAGTAAACTCAGCAAATCCAGAAGTAACTGACATAGCTAAAGTTTTTGCTTTCTAAGATAAAGAATAAATGGAATTCCATCATTAGTTTTATAAAAGTGTTTATGTAAGGACAAACTGGGTGATGTGATATAGTGTCATCACCATAAATATAGGTAGAAATTTTAATTTTAGATAGAGAGGAAGAACAGACAGTCTATGACAGCATTTGAAACATAAAGCTATAACAAAAGTAGTTCTGGGCTGGGAAGGTGGCTCAGTGGTAGAGCGCTTGCCTTGCATGCATGAGGCCCTGGGTTCGATTCCTCAGCAAAAAAGAAAAAAACTGGAAGTGGCGTTGTTGCTCAAGTGGTAGAGCGCTAGCCTTGAGCTGAAGAGCTGAGGGACAGCGTCCAGGCCCAGAGTTCAGGCCCCACGACTAGACCAAAACAAAAAACAAAAAAACAACAACAACAATAAAAAAAAGTAGTTCTATATACATAAGTATCTTTGATCATTAGGTGAAGGAGATGATGTAGTATAATGAATAGAACTTACATTAACTTTAGGAAAATCAAAAGGCTAGCTTAGAAAGGATAAAGAGTCTCACAAACTCCCCTCCCAGGCTGGGTACTAATTGGAGTCTTCAGATCTCAGCCTTCTAAGCAGCTAGGATTACAGGCATGAGCCACCAGCACCTAGCAATTTTTAAAGACTATTTTGACCATAGGCATAAAATAATTCCCTAATTTCATTCTGTTTGAAAATAGCTATAGAGAATATTAAACAGCAATATTTCAAAACAAGATGATCCTTGATACCTGTAAGCATGACCTAAGGAGATGTATATGCCCTGTTTAAGACTAACTGCTGTGTTTGTAATAAATGATGCATCTGTAATGTTCCAGAGCAGCCAAGGCAGAAATGCCCATGGAGTCTCAATCTGTGTGATACCACGTATGTATTACCAACAGACAGGGACCCAACTTCAAAAATAACCAGCACAAAAGAGAACCAGCGGGATTGCTCCTCAGTGGTGCACCTGCCTAAGAAGCATAGGCCTCTCAGTTCAAACTCCAGTAACCCCTCCCCCCAAACACAGGAGATTTAAAAATATGGTACTTTGTGTAGACAACTATAAAAAAATTAAAAACTATTTTAAGCTGTGACTATTCAGTAGTATCAATTAAGAACAGCTTATTTCTCTGGGCTACTTGAACAGTAAGAACTCGCTAGGCTTTGCTATGCAGGCTATATATATATATATGTAATACCAACCTTAACCACAAGAGGAGTTTCAAGTAAAAGTAATTCTGAAGATCTGGATGTATTCTGATGTGATCGTTTTAGCTTTGAACTCAATGGCAATGAGCTGGATAGCAGGTATAAAGGAGATCTTGTGGGACTTTGCTGAATAAATTCCAAACCCTGAGAAGGCTGGGGGACAGGCTGAACAACCAAATCCAGCAATCTGTAAGCAGAATACACAAACGGAAAATTCCTGGTAACTTACTGAGGCAACAATTTAGTAACCCATTATTCTTATTTGTATAGTCACTGTTAAGTGTCATAACCATATGAAAATCTAACTTCAGACAAGTACATTAGTGTAAATTTCATGTCAAGAATTAAGTTTTAAAGAGTTTAAAGTTATTTCAGTATGAAAAAACCTTTAGGAGTTGTAGAGAACATTTAAACTTGAAAGTAAATCATCCAGGTGAAATTCTGTGGTTGCATTTTCATCGAAGACCACAGAGATTAGCGTCTCTTAGGACAAGTGCAGCACACTTGTGCTGCTGTGCTGCCTTTCCTTCCACATTCAGGTTCAGGTGATTTGTCGCCAGAGGTAATCACACTCACTTTAAAATACAACCTACCAGCCAGGCGCTAGTTCATACCTGTAATTCTGGCTACTCAGGAGGCTGAGAGAGAGGGAGAGAGAAAGAGAGAGAGAGAGAGGAAAAAAGTGCAACCTACCACCAATGGGGGAAATGGTTATAAGGAAGCACTTCCTTTTTTTTTTGAAATTACTATTTTGTGCATGTCTTGATGCTTGAACCCAGGCCTGTGCACTCACTCTCCCAGCTTTTTGTTTTTAAAGGTATTATTAAGGTGTTGTACAGAAAGGTTAACATTTCCTAAGTGAGATAATGAGTACAGTTCTTTTTGAATATTTGTTTAACCCTCCTACCTAACTTTCTTCACTCTCCTCTTTCCCTCCTGAAAAGACAAAAACAAAGAAAACAAAAGCAAAACCAAACATCACCATCACTACCAACATACCCATTCCACAGCCATATCCTTGAATTCGTCTCAATAGTATTTTATTTATTTATTTTTTGGGTCCGGTCATGGGGCCTGAACTCTGGCCTGGGCGCTGTCCCTCAGCTCTTCAGCTCAAGGCTAGCGCTCTACCACTTGAGCCACAGAGCCACTTCCGGCTTTTTTCTTTTTGCTTATGTGGTGCTGAGGAATCGATCCCAGGGCCTCAGGTATGCAAGGCAAGCGCTCTACCACTGAGCCACCTTCCCAGCCCCAGTATTTTAAATGTTCAGAGAAGTTCATACCTTTGGGTTCCTCCCTTAAGTGTATCCTTCTTGTCTGTGTGTGAATGCCTAGAGGCCTGTATAGGTTACCATGTCCAGTTGTATGAGACAATATATGTACTGTTCATCTCTCAGACATCTTTCTGAGCTTGGCTTCCTCATTTAGCATGATTTGCTCTTAGTCAATCCCCTTTTCTGCAAACGACATAATCTTATTTTTTCTGATGGCGGTGTAAAGTTCCATTGTGTATAGATAGGTACCACATTTTTTGCATCCACTCATCTACTGTAGGCCATCTGGGCTGTTTCCATAACTATTGTGAAGAGTGCAGCAATGAACATGGATGTGCGAGTGTCATTTACCATATCCTGACTTGTAAGACTAGTAGGGCTGGAACATAGGGAAGCTAGGTTTAGTTTTTTGAGAAACCTCTAAATCTCCTGAGTGCGTGCCCTAGTTTATATTTTTACCAACAATGCAATAGGGTTACTTTTTTGCCACATCCCACCAGCAATTTGTTGGTCAATGTAACTGGGGTGAGACAGAATCTCAGTGTTGTTCTGATTTGCATTTCCCTTATGACCAAAAGATGTTGAACATTTCCTCATGTGTCTATTTGCCATTCTTCTTCTGAAAAGTCTCCTTTTAGCACCTTTGCCAATGTGTTGATTGGTTAGTTTTCTTTTAGGGGCGATTAATCTTTGAGTTCCTTAAATATTTTGGATATTGGGCCTTTGTCAGATGCGTTAGGTAAAGCTCTCTGTCTGTTGGCTGTCTTTTATATAGTAACTATGTCCTTTGTTCAGAAATCTTTCATTTTGATGTAATCCATTTGTCAATTCTCTCCTACTTCCTATGCCCATGGGACGCTTTTCTTGGCAATACCTATGATTTCTGATGCTTTATCCTACTCCATCTCACAGTAGTTTCAAAGTTTCATGTCTGATGTGAAACTAAGTATCTGGCTTTATTTCTGGGTCTTCTATGCTGTTCAATTTGATCTTTGGGCCTGTTTTTGTGCCGGTACTAAACTTTTTGTTATTATAGCTCTGTAGTAGAGCTTGAGGTCTGGCGTTATGACACCACCAGCCTTGCTTTTATTTTGCATAAAATTGCATTGGCTATTCAAGGTCTTTTGTCAGTCTATGTGAATTTTTGAATTGTTTTCTCAGTGAAGAATGTCTTAGGCTTTTGATGGGGATCATTTCTAGATCAGCTTTGGCAGTATGGTCACTTTCATGATATTAATCCTACCTATCCATACATATAGTCTTTCCATTTCCTGGTGGAAATGGAGCTGTCCCAGAGCTCTTTTGTTCAAGGTTAGTACTCTTCCATTTGAGCCACAGTGCCTTTCTGGTTTTCTGGTGGTTATCTGAGGTAAGAGTCTCACTGACTTTCCTGCCCAGGCTGGCTTTGAACTGGGATCCACAGATCTTAGTCTCTAAGTTCATGTGACCACTTCTTTCTTATGTGAACCCCTTTAAACTTTTCTTACCTTACTGCTCTGGCTATGAGTTACAGTCTACACATTTCTTTTTCTATCTTCTGTGCCAATGCTTTTATTATCTAATGTATATTTAAATTATGTACTTGTATGCAAGTGGATCACTTTTATATTGAATTTTCCCAAATATGTATGCTGTTAAATGGTCTTCATTCTATTTCTATTTTTGTCTAAAGTAACTATGGATAACTGCTTTTCAAAACCAAGTAAGAGGTTGGGAACGTGGCTCAGTGGTAGAGCGCTTGCCTTGCATGAATGAGGCCTTGGGTTTGATTCCTCAGCACCATATAAGCAGAAAAAGCTGGAAGTGGTGCTGTGGCTCAAGTGGTAGAGCATTAGCCTTGGGCTGAAGAGCTGAAGGACAGCGCCCAGGCCCAGAGTTCAGGCCCCACAACTGACCCCCCCCCCAAAAAAAATGTTCAGTACTATATAAGGTCTTGTAATCTCATCAACTACTTTAATCACCTTTTACCTAAGTAAAAGGTACATCTATTTTTACAGATATTGTCTATTCTTTTGAAAGAACAGGCTATTCATACCATATTTATTTGCTAAGTAATTCAAATCAGTATGAAAGCACAGAAGGAGGGAGCTCAATGATTTTTGTAGAAGGTAAATGTTCACGTTTTGATTGGTTCTCTCACATCTAAGTTAATTCTGGCTTGAAATGACGATCATACTGAGACCTTTAACCAAGGATTTTCAAAAGGGTCTTGTTGGCCCCCCCAGCCCCCCCAGCAGATGCTCAATCTGTTAAAAGTAAAAAGGGACCAAGGAAAAGTGAAAACAAAAAACTAGAATGTCCAAATTAACTTCCATTTAAAATAGCTTCTCATTAGAGTAATTAAAGATCTAACCAAATTTAACCCAAAATATGGACGATCCTTTCAAACTTTGAAAATGTGTCAACTGTAAAAACTACAAATATTTCTGGCCTCTTTTTTTTTTGTCGGTCGTGGGGCTTGAATGGGGCTTGAACTCTGGGCTTAGGTGCTGTCCCTTAGCTCTTCAGTTCAAGGCAAGCAAGCACTCTACCACGTGAGCTACAGCGCCACTTCTAGTAGTTTATAGAGATAATAGTCTCATAGACTTTCCTGCCTGGGCTGGCCTTGAACCGTGATCCTCAGATCTCAGCCTCCTGAGTAGCTAGGATTACAGGTGTGAGCCACAGGTACCTGGCTTTTTCTTTTTTTTGGTCAATCGTGGCCTTTGGCTCTCATGGACTTTCCTGCTCACTCTGGCTTTGACTACAACCCTCAGATCTCAGCCTCATGAGTAGCCAGGATTACAGGTCTGAGCCACCAGTTCCCGACTTGGCCTCTTTTGTTGGGTCAGTCCTATGGGTTGAACTCAGGGACCCTTGCTGGGCCTTTTAACTCATGGATTTGAGCCATGCCTCCAGTTCCTCCAATGTTCTGTAATACAGTTTCTCTGAAATGTGAAACTTTATTAAGACTTTTTGGTAGCACTATCGCAAAGGAGAAAGCTTCAACACGATCCAAACAAGGCTAATTAATAACCTCAAAATAACCTCAGAGGTAAATGAATGAGCTAACAATAAAGAAATATTTCACTTTGTTCATAGTTTTAATGAGGCTTGCTTCTTTTCACTAAACTATTTAAATCATTCAATTGAAACTTTAAGTTCAGTATCAGCACCATGATATAAAATTTCCTAAAAATACTATGCCCATGCACAAATTATAATAAATGATTAAAAACTTTCACTTAAGAATTTTAAATATGTAGGCTGAGAATGTGGCTTAGTGGTAAAGTGCTTGCCTAGCATGCATGAAGCCCTGGTTTCAATTCCTCAGTACCACATAAAGAGAAAAAGCCAGAAGTGGTAGAGTGCTAGCCTTGAGCAAAAGCAGCTCAGGGATAATGCCCATTCAAGTCCCAAGACTACAAAACAAAACCAAACAAACAAGAATTTGAAATATCTGTAAAGTGTTAATTATCAAAATTACACTTAATAACTGTCCAACATGATGTCTTAGGAATTGAATTAATGAGCTCTCACCTAGAAATTTTCTGTGATGTTTTTGAAACTGGTGTTCCAACAAATGCTTCAGGCAGCTCTGGATGAGGGAAGGAATATATTGCAGGAGATGCCTGTTCTGTTTTAGGACTGAAAAAAATAAAAAATTATACATTTGATTTATATATTCCATACAACATGGATAAAAATGTGGAGTTTAGAAAGAAGAAAGGGCTTTCATGTTTTTACTGTGTATATTTCAGAATATTTACAAATAATAATAAATATAGGTTGCTTTTAAATTAAAAAAAAAATATTCTTAAATGCATAGACTGCTGACCAATGCTGGTGTCCAATAAGATATCGAGGGCATATCTTCAGAAAGCAAAGGAGAAACATACCTGCTATGAAGCAAAGGGCTGTTTCTAGGTTCATGGCTTGCCCACACCTCTCCAATTTTAGATAACACATTACTGATGAAAGTAGATCTTGTTAACACGGTCCCTGTTACACTTTTCTTTGGAAATGTTGACAATGGCTTAGGTCTAGAAACTAAAATGAAGAATGTAAGAGTTAAGTTCATCACTATCAAGTAGGATCCTGTTTGTAAATCTTATTAATAAAAGAAATAATTTGAAACATGATCATTAAAATTGGGTACTTAGGAGATGGTAAAAAATATTTCACACAATTTTAAAATGTTGGACAAGAGTGTTCAATGGAAATAATCAAAAGCACTGCTTTATAACTACACTGGTAAACAATGGTAAGTAACTGCCCAGAAAGCCCTCTAGCTTGTAGTATACAGCAGCGAGTAAAAAGCATGACTGTGGTGAATCTGAATGTGAGCGAGCAAAAGTGAGCTGTATTTAAGACAGTGACAGTTCCAGAAAGTCCATCATATTGACTGGTGACAATGATTAAAGCTATCTATTCAGTATCTTTTCTAGCCCAAGAGTTTTTGACATTCTCCAATTATATCTTACCTTCTCGAAAAACTGATGATGTTGACACATGGTAAGGCTTAGCTCTCTCAATGGCTAATTTCCGCTGGACTCTAGGAAGGATTTTCCCGTACTGATCTAATATAGAATTTCGAGCCACTGATCTCTCTCTCAAACGAGGATCGCGATCATTCTATTAAAACATATATCATAATTGGTAGAAACTCAATGTACAAAATGTGAGATACTGTAGTTATATATTTACCATTCTAAATTATGGAAACCCAAAACTGTCTTCTTCTTGCCTACAAACCAAAGTCTTTGTACACATATGATTGTTTTACCCATCAACATATTCCAAATCTAACACCAACTCTAGATCTTTCCCAACGACACTAAAGTAGTTGTCATTTACTAAGCATGCATGTGTGGAGCATGTGTCAGGTCACACTCTCACTAACCAACCGTGTGTAGGGGGAGGTGCATCTGCGCAGCCTCACCACGTCACAAGGTTCCAAGCTGTCCCAACACCAATACCTTACGAGTCCATCTAACTGCCCTCTTTGCACCATAGCCTACCACTGCCTTTCTCCATAAATTCCTCTCCTTTGCTGTAACTGAAGTAGGAGGGCATGCAAGACTAAACACACAAACATAAATGGCAAGAATTAGATATTGCAACAACTTGAATCATACCATAAGATTAATCTTCAGAGTCTGGTTTAGCTTCAAGGCAGGGATATAATTAGCACGCTGCAAATGGTGAACTAGAAGAAATTCATGATTCTGAACATTGGCACTGGACTGTAAAAACTTCACTAAACATTCCTAGGAAGAACAAAAAAATGATTTATACTCTATTAACTTACCGAATTTCTGCCAAGTTTACATCAACTAAATGATTACCTGTTCAGTGTCTGTGAATGGTAATTTCAGCAAATCCTCCATTAAGCCCATTTCTTGACAGATTTCATACGCATGCTTTAGTAATTCTTCTACATTCAGTCTGTTAGAATGTTGACGCAGCAAATTCCAGGCCTCGACCATGCACCTGAAATGAGTATTTGCCAAAGTTTAGTTTTAGAATAGTTTTGTTTTTTTTTTTGAGGGGAGTGAGGTCAGTTGTGGGACTTGAACCTAAGGTCTGGGGGCTGTCCCTGAGCTTTTGTTTTGTGCTCAAAGATAGCACTTTCCACTTTGGGCCATAGCAACACTATTGGTTTTCTGGTGGTTAACTGGAGATGAATCTTACGGACTTTCCTGCCTGGGCTGGCTTTGAACCATGATCTTTAGATCTCGGCCTCCTGAGTAGCTACAATTACAGGTGTAAGCCACCAGTGCCTGGAGAGAAAAGTTACTTTAAATGTTCAAAGTCAATTATCTATAGACTCTCTAAGATAACTAGTATGGCAAATTTAAAAGTACACAAAAAAACTTCTTAAATACTAATTTCTGCAAAGTAAATCTTGTAAGTAATGTCAACAAGAGAGTCAGGAATCAGGAATATAAAACACTCAAGGGATTCAGAGCCTAACCGGCGTGCAAAGTGTGGCTTTAAGGTGAAGACACTGAGTATAAGAGCGGATTTAAGGCGATGTTGATGAGGTCATATGAGGAGAGGAGGGAGGAAGGAGGTGAGGCTGGTGAGCTCATACTTGAAGAGTGGAGGAGGGAACGCTTCATGTTCATGGGGAGGTAAAAGAATAGCTTATGAGAGCTGGGAAGGTGGCTCAGTGATAGAGCGCTTGCCTTGCATGCAAGAGGCTCTGGGTTTGATTCCTCAGCACCACATTAAGAAAAAAAAAAAAGCCGGAAGTGGCGCTGTGGCTCAAGTGGTAGAACTGAAGAGCTGAGGGACAGCGCCCAGGCCCAGAGTTCAGGCCCACAACCGACAAAAAAAAAAAAAAAAGAGTAAAGAAAAAAAAAGAATAGGCTGTAAGATGATCTGGGCTGATTCAAAGCAAGGTCTGATTGGAGGTTGGAGAAGTGGGTCAAATTTTACAGTCTCAGACACCAAGTTCCATTTGCAGAAAAACTCTATGGGCAGTAAGATCATTTGGTTTCTTGCATGAGAGTTTTCCAGAGTCAGATCTTCAGAACTAAATGAACTAAATGTGTGCATAATGCATAACTGTGCAAAATTTAAAAATAAGGAAGCTTTTAATAAAATAACTGAATAAAATAACTCCAAACTAAGAAGGCTGAATGTTTAAGGGTATCCAGTATGCTGTTCTAAACAGCTGTGTGTATGTGTGTGTGTGCTGGTGGGCGTGTAGTGGAAGGTGAGGTGTGCATGCGGCATTTGTTTAGCTGACCTCAAGAGACAGGAAATGATTAATGATGAGTAGTTCCCAAGAAGAAAAAAAAGGTGGAGAGATCCAATTATCATATTATACTTCTTTTTTTTTTTTTTTTCCCCTGTCCTGGGGCTTGAACTCTGGGCCTGGGCGCTGTCCCTCAGCTCTTCAGCTCAAGGCGAGCGCTCTACCACTTGAGCTACAGCGCCACTTCCGGTTTTCTGGTAGTTTATTGGAGATAGGAGTCTCACGGTCTTCCTTGCCCGGGCTGGCTTTGAACCGCGATCCTCAGATCTCAGCCTCCTGAGTAGCTAGGATTACAGGCGTGAGCCACCAGCGCCCGGCTCATATTATACTTCTTAATGTAGAAATAGTGAATTTCTTATTTAAAATAAATTGTGATATACGTGACTTTTTCCTCCCAGTACATGGATAGACTTTGAAAATTTTTTCCTTTTTTAAATTTTAAAGTGAAAATACGGTACAGAGGGGTTACAATTACATGGGCAAGGAAATTTTTTCCTTTAAAATGTTTATACAAAGCCAGGTACTGGTAGCTTACACCTAATAGCCTACCTACTCAGGGGGCTGAGATCTGAGGATGAGGGCCTGAGTATAGCTCTGACAGTCTCCCTCCAAAAGTGACTCCTCTGTAGCAGATTATGCTAAATAAACTTTTACACTTCACCCAGTATTGACAACAGTATACAGAATATTGTAAAAGACAAAGGATAACATTTCTTTCCAGTCAGTGTGTCTGTAGTAGGAAAAGCTTACATCTCCCGAAACCCATTTGCCAATGTATAAACTGTATTATCCTGTTTCCTATGGTATATATGCTACAGAGAAGACTAAGAAAATGATTCCATTTGATATTATAGCATGCTGGCAGTAAGCAAACACGAATCACTTTAGTAAGCAATGTATGGTTGGTGGGGTTCTTGGTAATACAGTAGAGAAGGTAGCCTAGAGAACTAGTGACCAACTCCATAAACAATCTTTCTAATTATCTTTAAATAGTTGTGTAAAGGAAGACACTAAATGCTTGGCAAAAAAGGAAAGGCAATGAAAAAACAAATTCCACACAGGCAAATAAGCTACCACTAACCTCTAATTTTACCAGAATAAGAGAAAACCAGGTAAGCTTTGCAGGCAGGTACAAAAAACAGGACATTATTGATAGGAACGTATTATATCCAACACCAAAGTAAGTAACTTACGAAACAGACCATTGAAGACTGAAAGATTAAAATCATATAATCAACAGGCTTGATATTTTAGACAAATACAGTTAGCACTTTCACCTAACTGACTGCTTATCAGTGGGTGAATTAAATCTCACCAAGGTTTTAAAGACAAGTCACCAGATGAATCATACTAAGTGATTATAATGCAATTAAGTTAGAAACCAAGAAGTTAGGGGTAAGAAAAACAGGTTTTATTATACCTGTATGATACAAAGGCAAAATAAATCATATTAAAACCTATCTAAAGCTTTTATTTACTTTAAATCTATCAACATAGGGTACATCATGGTCAACTTGCAAGACTACCAAACAATAGCCATGATGGTATTTGTATAAATATAGATAATAAAATTGAAAATATCAGCATTGAGTTTTAGGAAAATAGAAAGATTACTCTATCAACGAGATGGTTGAGGCTAAGATAAGAATCAAGTTGGGAGGTTTAACAAAATAACTAATAGCTGTTCAACCACTATTACAATTAATAGTAATTAAGTACTCTGTCAGCAATTGTAATGAATAAAACTTGTGATATTAATATTGTCCTCTTACTATTGGAAGGTGGGCATTACTAACTTCATATTACAAATGAGAACAGAGTTAAAAGTATCAACAGTTTCTGTATTTCAGAACATAGTATAATGTTAAATTAAACCCCATTTAAAGCTGGGCACCAATGTAATTGTAGCTACTCAGAAGGTTGAGCTTTAACGATCTTGGTTTGAAGCTGACCCTGGAAGAAAATTGTGACTCTTATCTCCAATTAACCACCAAAAACTAGCCTCACACATAACAGTTCAAGCCCTAGGACTGGCACATATGCGTGGACACAAAATCCAGTTAAGACTGGTGGTGGCTGGGCTGGGGAAGTGGCTCAGTGGTAGAGCGCTTACCTTGCATGCATGAGGCCCTGGGTTCGATTACCCAGCACCACATAAGCAAAAAGAAAAAAGCCGGAAGTGGCGCTGTGGCTGAAGTGGTAGAACACTAGCCTTGAGCTGAAGAGCTGAGGGACAGCGCCCAGGCCCAGAGTTCAGGCCCCACAACTGGGACACCCCCTCCCCTCCAAAAAAAAAAAGACTGGGTGGTGGCAGCTCACGCCTGTAATACTAGCTAAGAAGGAGGCTGAGATCAGAGGATCACAGTTTTAAAAGCCAGCCTGGGAAGAAAAGTCCATGAGATTCTTATCTCCAACCAAACACCAAAAAGCCAGAAGTGAATGAGTGCTAGCTAGCCTTGAGGAAAACAATCCTAGGACTGGCACAAAAACAAACAAAAAATCCATTATGTCCAAAGACTATCCTCCTAACACCTTTGCCACAACCAGTGGCAATTCCAGTAAGATTAAAGGCTTTGATCACCTAACAAATACCACTACTGAATAAAAATTAGTCTGAGAGCACAGAGATGTCTCACTTATCTGGCAGTGCTGACCACTGACATAATTTGGAACCTGGGCTCAGGGTTAATGCTAAGCACCAGCTCTACCACTGAGCTAAAATCACAGATCCTAGTAATTTTACCATTTACTTTATCTGGCACAACTTATTTCACAAATGTTTTCTTCTCTTTGGGCTTGAACTCTGGGCCTGGGCGCTGTCCCTCAGCTCTTCAGCTCAAGGCGAGTGCTCTATACCGCTTGAGCCACAGCACCACTTCCAGTTTTCTAGTGGTTTATTGGAGATAAGAGTCTCACGGACTTTCCTGCCCAGGCTGGCTTTGAACCTCGATCCTCAGATCTCAGGCTCCTCAGTAGCTAGGATTACAGGCGTAAGCCACCAGCGCCTAGCTCTTTTTATTTTTTAACTGAGTACCCCTAAATAGCACAGGCTGGCTTCAAATTTAAGATGCTCCTGCCTCAGCTTCCTGAGCGCTGGGATTACAAGCATGAGCCTCCATATCTGGTTACAAATGGCACTGAACTACTTAAGTTTTATTTCTGCATTTCATGTAAAGGACACTTAGGGCCACAGAGGCTTTTCTAGAGAGTAATGCTGCTTGGAAACTGAGTAACATATTTGTGTGCTATTTATTAAGCACATCCTTTACAACTGAAATTGTATAGGAATGTGCCACCATATGCAGGCCACCTTTGAGTTATACCTTTAAGAGAAACACTTACTTATTAAAAAGCAGAACGGAGAGGTGGAGAACAACATCACTACCCTTGGAGACGGCAGGTTTCATGGTCTGAATGTATCTAAGGGCCTGTCTGTGCTCTCCTTGACTCATGAAGGCTTGGATAATCCTTGCATGTTGCCATGACACAGGTTTTGCAGTCACTGGATGAAAGAGAAGATCTAAACCACTCTGTAAGAAATGATGAGGAAAGTGGTTAGGTATCAAGCATTTGACAAACCACACAAATCAAAATAGCATCAGCTTAAATACAAGCTGAAAAAACTAATGTACAGTGTACTGAATTCTAAAAAATTGAACTTTTATCAGAAGCTCATACATTTGAGGCCTCATTAAATTATATAAAAATCTATTCACCACTAATTTTATATAACAATGTTAAGTCTTTTTCTTATAATGTTCACCTAAAACTCCTAACATTTCTCTAGTACAAATCCAGTGTTTACAGTTCACTTGTAAATATCATTTCATCAGCAGCTGGAACCTCTGAACCATTGTATCCTTGTATTCTTGCTGCCTGAAGTAGTCATTGGCAAAGGTACTCATTAAACTCAGTGCTTCTAGAAATAGACTTTATCATCTTTAAGATCAATTTTAATGTAGTTATGTATTCTTCCTACAATTATCATAACTTGCAAAAACTGCCTACTAAAAGAACTACAAACTCACCTCATAGTCATTATGATCTATCAGCCAAAATCCTTGAATAAGTTTAACATGGCCCCAAGAAATGGCAAAGGCAGTTGGAAAAGATTCAATGGGAGTATCCGTTTTGTTTGGAAAAGAATACATAATATCAAGCAGCAAATAAATGGTCTTGTGGAAAGGATTAAGGACAATAAAACAAATGCCTACATATGCGTTTAGACTCGTGTAGCAGAAGGCTTCAACAGTAAAGGAGGCTTGAATATAGGCTGTAGTGAGCATCAGCTACAGAATACAGTTCTATTCCATGCGGCACAATCGGTCCCACGAGAACTCCACTTGTTCTTAGTACGTCACTATGCCCACCACAAATGAGATGAACTTCAGTACACTTGCTCCTTTTTACCCCCCCAAAACAAAACTAAATGAAAATTAAGAAATTTGCTAGTTGAATTTAAAAACAAAGCTACAGCTCCAATTCGTTATTGGGTAATTGGAAGCTTAAGTAAACATAACTTGATAACTGATGAACTACCTATTATTAGACTAAGAAACCAACACAAATTTATTATCATGAAGACTCCAGGTCTAAAATAATGCCTATGGTAATATTAGGCTAACTTACAAGATACTCATTTTCAGCACTTGTCACTGGCAATAGTAGAGCAGTTGTTCTTGTTTTTAATTCCAGTTGGGGTAGAAATTTCACAGGTTTGGCAAGAGCTCTGCCCCAGTCTAGGCTCCATCTCTAGCCAAAGCAGTGGTTCTTACATACTTAAGAATCTGATAAAAGCCAAGAATCATATCCTTCTAGAATACTTAGAATTAGTGTTAAAAAGTTGAAATAGCCGGGCGCGGGTGGCTCATGCCTGTAATCCTAGCTCCTGAGGAGGCTGAGATCTGAGGATCTCGGTTCATAGCCGGCCCGGGCAGGAAAGTCCGTGAAACTCTTATCTCCAATAAACCACCAGAAAACCGCAAGTGGTGTAGCTCAAGTGGAAGAGCGCTTGCCTTGAGCTGAAGAGCTGAGGGGACAGCGCTCAGGCCTAGAGTTCAAGCCCGCCTCCCCCCCCACCAAAAAAAAGTTCAAATATAAAACTGCAATTGTAGTAGATGCCTACTAATCTGAAATTTCATAACAAACATTTTTATAAAAATGTAAAGGATACAACAGAGTGTTTGCTGGCTTCAGTGACATTCTCTAATAAATATATGTCAAGTAGCGCCTATAGAACAAAAGGATAAAAGCTTCAGTGCATCTTACAGTCTTTCATTCCCTCATCCCATCCAGCCACCCATCCATCCATGGCCTTTCTTTTCCCTAGCCTGTAGGTAGGTATGAAAAGTATACTAGCTTGTCTCCTTGCCCCCAACTTGTATACACTTTTAAAGTAGTAGCATGTTACTGTAAACCTACATGCAGACTAGCAGGAGGATATTTTCCTGTGCCTCCTTCATCCCGTTTCCACAACTTCTCAACTTGGTCTCCTAACTGAGAAACCAATCCATCGATCATCAAGCAATCATGGTTCCACTTTCCTCTGTAATAAGATAAGCATTAAGGATTTTTAATGTTAGAGTTATTATTGCTATCAAAATACCAAACATCATTCTTTTCCTTTTGTCAGTTGTGGGGCTTGAATTCACAGCCTGGGTTCTTCCCTGAGCTTTTACACTCAAGAGTTAAGCTCTACCACTCTGAGCCACAGTGCTACTTCTGGTTTTTTGGTAGATAATTAGAGATGATGAATCTCAAACAGTTTCCTACCTGGACTAGCTTCAGCTTTCAGCCACCTTAGTTAGTGTAAGCCACTAGTGCCCCAACAGCATCATTCTTAAAAATACTAATCCAATTAAACTCTGGAGAGGGAAATGGTAAGACTAGACTGCATTTAGCATGACAAGAACCTCAGAATCAGAGCAACACTAATCAGGTTTGTCCTGAAGGTGCCTCATGTTAGTCATTAGCAAGCCAAAGTAAGGAAAGCATGTGGTCTAACCAGTCAAATACGCGAGATTACTCCATTCCATCTTGAGCTAGTTACCTGTCAGTATTGGCAGCCTAAAGTAATAAAGCACTGCAGTTGAAAATCAGCAAGTTTTACTTTTTATTTCATCACTAGGATTATTCTTATATGCTAATTCCTTCATACAAAAAGTTATTATTGAATACCCAGATCGTGGCATGCAAATGCTGTCTCTAATTCTATCTCCTCATTAATCATAGTTTCTATCTTCTAAACTGTTCCTGTGTTCAGAACTGTACTATGTGGTCTGCATATTTTATGTATTCTTTATGCTAATGTGTCAATTAGCCAGAAAGTATAGTAAACCAGCTCAATAATACATACTTAAACTACAGATAAAGCATTGCAAAATATGCCAATCACTTTTCTGAGTTTATGTTCTTTCCTTGCAATTATTTGTCCTAAAAACTGGTTCCCAAAATTTGCCAAGCATCAGAATTAACACAGGATAGTCTTTTAAGTTAAGGGCTCTCAGGAGAGTCTGACCTAAGAAACCCAGCATTGCCCTTAAGATGTTATATGTATAATTCATTCTAACAGGAAGAAGGCAATTTAAATTCCTGAGGGCCACACACAATGTAAAAGAAATAGGAATAAGGAAGGAAATGGTTTAAATTTTGAGAAATAACTTAAAACTTTGGTGGAATAGGTATACTTTGAAGAAAAGTCTAGTCTTCTTTATAAATCAAGAAGCCATGAGCGAAAGAAGCTCTGGGACAGTGCCCAGGCCCTGAGTTTCCCAGGACTGGGAAAAATAAACAAAACAAAACAAAAAAAAAGGATTCTAAGGGGAAAAGAGCTTAAATTATACAATCTCTTCTAACAAATTACTCATGGTAAAAGTGTTACTCAGAAAACAATGGTAATGAAAATCTCCTAAATTTAAAAATAAAGGCTTGGCCATTAGGTCAAAGCAAACAATACAATTAAAAGTTGACAGTGGCAATTTCTGGCTGTTAGTCAGTTACAACATAGCAGCCACTGTTCAGAGGGCAGGATACCACTGTACCTTGGGGAGTTCTTCCACTTGTGCCGGCGGCTGGTGTAGTAGCCCTGGATGCTGGGGTAGTTGTAGCACAGCTTTGACAGCTGTACAGTATCATCTGTATCATTGTAAGTTTGGAGGAAAAAAGACTGTATTATTCCCAGAACTTCTTACCATACCATAGTATTCCTTTTTTTGGGGGTCATGGGGCCTGAACTCTGGGCCTGAGTGCTGTCCCTCAGCTCTTCAGCTCAAGGCTAGCGCTCTACCACTTGAACCATAGTGCCACTTCTGGCTTTTTTTCTTTTTGCTTATGTGGTGCTTGGGAATCGAACCCAGGGCCTCATGCATGCAAGGCAAGTGCTCTACCACTGAGCCACCTTCCCAGCCCTGATCCTAGGGTTTGAACTCAGTGCCTGGGTACTGTCCTTGAGCTTTCTTCCTCAAGGCTAGCACTCTACTACTCAAGCCACAGCTCTTTTCTTGGCTTGATGGTGATTAATTGGAGGTAAGAGTCTCATGGACTTTCTTGACCTGGCTGGCTTCAAACTGTGTTCCTTAGATTTTAGCCTCCTGAATAGCCTCTGGTGCCCAACTAATAGTATTAACTTTTATCATGGATGATATTTTAACACATTTTTATAATATTGTTTAACTTGCAGCCTTGCCAAAGTAACATTAGAATACTACACATTGTTACTTTCTTTTTTTTTTTTTGGGGGGGGGGGGGGGGAGGTCCAGTTGTGGGTCCTGAACTCTGGGCCTGGGCGCTGTCCCTCAGCTCTTCAGCTCAAGGCTAGTGCTCTACCACTTGAGCCACAGCGCCACTTCCAGCTTTTTTCTTTTTGCTTACGTGGTGCTGAGGAATCGAACTCAGGGCCTCATGCATGCAAGGCAAGCACTCTACCACTGAGCTACCTTCCCAGCCCCTAATATTTTTTATTAATATTTATAGATTAAGTAAATACTTTACCTAAGCCTTCTGGTAAAAGTCCAGAGTGAGAGAACCAAAGAACCATTTGTGCATATTGACAGATGAGCTGGGTAACCAGATGTTTATTGTTTAAGTCCACCATTCCTGTAAAGAGTTAACTTTTAATTACCAATAACATACAAAAAACCAAAATATTCAACAATTTTTGATACTAGTGATGTTTTAACAGTATGTATATATTTTGAATAAATTTAGCTTATGTCTAATTTACTTTGGTCCAAAGTGACATTAAAAAAATCCCCAAGATGCTAAATTAAGTCACTGACTAAGGTAGACATTTTATGCAACAAGTATAATTATTAATTTAGGTTTTCCAAACCAAATCAAACAAAAGGTCAGTTTTATTTATTTTTTCTCCCCATGTGTGGGGCTTGAACTCAGGGTCTGGGCACTGTCCCTGAACCTTTTTTGCTCAGGGATAGAGCTCTATCACTCTGAGCCACAGTGCTACTTCCAGTTTTTTGGTGTTTATTTGGAGATAAGAGTCTCATGGACTTTTTTGCTTACACTGGCTTTTCAGCCTCCTGAGTTCCTAAGAATAGCAGCTTTTTTTTTTTTTTTTAAAGGTTTGTATTTGGGCTGGGAAGGTGGCTCAGTGGTAGAATGCTTGCCTTGCATGCATGAGGCCCTGGGTTCAATTCCTCAGCACCATATAAACAGAAAAAGCCGGGAGTGGAGCTGTGGCTCAAGCGGTAGAGCGCTCGCCTTGAGCTGAAGAGCTGAGGGACAGTGCCCAGGCCGAGTTCAGGTCTACAACCAGTTAAAAAAAAAAAGGGGGGGGGGGTTATTTTTTAAATTGTTATTATAAAGGTGATGTAAGAGGAGGTTACAGTTACATAAATCAGGGAAAGAAAAAACAGCAAAAAAGAAAAAAAAAATCTCGTTTTCATTTTCCAGAGTTCATTTCAATAAGAATTATTTTGTACTATCAGATGTACAAACCTAAGATGTTCCTGACCTAAGAGTATCCTCCTTTGGTCTCACTGTGTGTGAATTCCTTTATTATGTCCCAGTATTTTAGGTCTATCTTCTGCACATGAGAGAAAACATGTGTTGTCTCTCTGAGCTTGGCTTACCTCACTTACCATGAACTGTTCTTAGTCCACCGATTTCCCTACAAATGACATAACAATATTCTTCCTAATGCCTATGTAAAATTCCATTGTGTGTAGGTACCAGGTTTCAATTCACTCATCTAGTATAAGGTATCTGGGCTGTTTCTACAACGTGGTTATTATGAATAGTGCAGCAATGAACATGGATGTGCAAGTGTCTTTTTGGTATCTTGACTTGTGAAGTTCTGGGTAAAGGCCCAGGAGTTGTATGGCTGGATTGTAAGGAAGATCTAGGTTTAGTTTTCTGAGGAACTTCCAGACTGCTCTCAAAAGTGGGTGTACCAGTTTACATTCCTACCAACAGTGCACTACGGTTCCTTTTCCCCTACATCCCTGCCAGCATTTGTTGTTTGAATTCAGTGTTGGCCAGTCTAATAATGGGGGTGAGATGAAATATCTGAATTGTTTTGATTTGCATTTCCTTTATGGTCAGGGATGATGAGTATCATCATCCTGTGTTTGCCATTCTTATCTCAGCCGCTGAGAAGTCTCTCCTTAGCTCCTTTGCCCACCATTTTTATTTTGTTCAAATGAAAAAAAAAAAAAAGAAAGAAAATATCCACTTCTTTGTGTAAAAAACTATTATATCATTTCAAAAGTTGAAATTCTATGAGGACACTACAGTAACTACAGCCACTGTCTCTGAAATTCCCCAAGCTTATCTGAACATTGGCTGACAGTGCACAAGAGCGCTCTGTAGCTTTACAAGAAAAGAGAATTTTACATTTGAGAAACGATGACTTCCTTACACAAGGATCCACTTAAGACACAGGAACTTTCTTCCTCTTAAGTATAAACTGATAAAGTACTCATTTATATAAAACACAAATACCTCTCAAGGTGATCTCTTTAGCTTCTGATGTAAAGCAGCTGAAGACAGTATTGAGATTGCTTAAAACCAACTGGCACTGCTGGATGGACTGGATGGTTTGTGGGTCGATGAAGCGACAGGAGCCATCAAACAAGGGTGTGCCTTTCAAGGCAAAATGCGTGAGTTTCACAGTCAATCTGAGTGAATTATAATCCCAAGTACAGACGGTCTCTAATTCTTATTACTCAAAAAAACGTATTTATTATAAACGTTCTAAAGACAGGCTAGGATTGGCAAGCAACCTAAAGGAACCTAGAATGTACTCTCAGAACTCAGAGGACGTCAGCTTATCTGTATGCACTGAATTAGGGTAGAAGTGACCCAGGCACCTACTATTCAATAAACTTAAATTTTGCTTTCTCTTACTGTGCTATCATCTATCTCTGAGTACTTACACAAGTCAAAGTACACATGAAATAATTAAAGAGACTATCAAGGAGGAAAATGATTTGGTATGAGATAATAGCATTTGTAGGTAACAGGCTCACCCTGCCATGAACATTCTGAAAAGAACCTGAGTAAGGAGCAAGGCCCATTTCAGTTACTCCAGCACCAGTGTATATTGTAAATTAGCTCCTAAAACCACAAGATAATGTGTAATTCAAAAACTCACTATTGTCAGCTTAAAATTCCATCGTAAAATTATTTTAATGATAGAGGGGCATGTCTAACGTGGTGGAATGCCTGTTAAGCAAGCACAAGGCTGAGTTCAATCTGGAGCACTTTAAAAAAGAAAACCAAAATAAAAAGAACAAAAAGGTTTCAGTTAATTTAATAAAAAATTAATAATTTAGTTAATTTAATAATTTAATGACTTCTGGAAATTGTAAATTTTAAGAATTTACAACTTCATATTTTTTTTGGGGGGGGAGGGGGGGCAGTCATGGGGCCTGAACTCTGGGCCTGGGTGCTGTCCCTCAGCTCTTCAGCTCAAGGCTAGCACTCTACCACTTGAGCCACAGCGCCACTTCTGGCTTTTTTTTCTTTTGCTTATGTGGTGCTGAGGAATCAAACCCAGGGCCTCAGGCATGCAAGGCAAGCGCTCTACCACTGAGCCACCTTCCCAGCCCACAACTTCATATTATTAAGAACTATTTTTTTTTTTTCGGGTCCGGTCGTGGGGCCTGAACTCTGGGCCTGGGCGCTGTCCCTCAGCTCTTCAGCTCAAGGCTAGCACACTACCACTTGAGCCACAGCACTACTTCCGGCTTTTTTCTTTTTTCTTATGTGGTGCTGAGGAATCGAACCCAGGGCCTCATGCATGCAAGGCAAGCGCTCTACCACTGAGCCACCTTCCCAGCCCTCTATTAAGAACTATTACATACAGAAAACACAACCTTAGTTTTTAACTATGAAATTTTATCCAAATTTGCACTTTTAATACTTACATAATCTGTCAAACTCCTCTTTTGTGACAGCCACTTTATTCCATGTCCATTCAAGAACAAAGCGCAAATTAGCAGCAGAATTTGGTTGTTCTTAGTTGTAAATGTGAAAAGAAAAAAAGTATTCATTGCCAACAGAATACAAATCTGGCGGGCAGTACCCTAACCAAGTGAACAGAGCTAAATCAGTCTTAGTCAGGACACTCTGGCCAAGCAGCATCTATGCTCAGAGAATCAGGAGGCACATCATTCCTGGGTAGCAGGGAAGAAAAGACCAGCTTACAGAAGATAGATGTCAGCCCACAAAATGACAGGCTGGTAAGCTTCTACAAACCACTAATACTTAAAAGACAATTATTGGCACAGCAAGTAAAAACAAAACATCCCCAGTTTCCCACCCTCTCAAAAATAATTGTACCAGATTTAGGAAGTTAAAGAGGCATGAAAGCTAGTCAAGTGTGGTGGCACATAACTACTTCATCAGGGAGGTTAGGTAAGAGAATCAATTTAAGGCCAGCTAGCACGGAACTGTTAATGATACTTGATTCAAAAAAACAAAACACAACCCATAAAGAGTAAAGTGATTTGCTGGGTGCCAGTGGCTCACACCTGTAATCCTAGCTACTCAGGAGCCTGAGATCTGAGCATCAAAGTTCAAAGCCAGCCTGGGCAGGAAAGTCCATAAGACTCTTATCGCCAATAAACCACCAGAAAACCAAAGTGGCACTGTGGCTCAAGTAGTAGAGCTCAGGGACAGCGCCCAGGCCCAGAGGTCAAGCCTCACAACTGACCAAAAAAAAAGAAAGAAAAAGTGATTAATATATACATCACCTGGCTGAATGTGAACAAAATTTTGTACACATCAGCTTTCATACTGATACTACTTTATGAGCATGTTTGAAATGACAGAATTTCAGATATAAGAGTTCTGAGGAACAGAGCAGTTATGGGAAGACAAATGAGTCCAGGGGAGAGCAGGTATTGACACATACAGGAAGCACTCTAGTTCTCTTGGCACACAGCACCACTGCAGGAGATTCACGCAGTTCTCTCTGCATGAGGCCTTACAGCTCCATGTGAGTCCTCACAGTAAAAACCCAAGAACTACTGATTCTGAAAATCAGTATATTACCTTCTGTTATCCACCTTCTGATACAACCAGTCAAAAGTCCCAGGGAACTTGTGTGAACTGCTGCTGACAATACAGCTTCTAGCTGTTCTTCCTAAGCCAAGCATTAAGAAAGAAATGAAGAGAAACAATATGAGATCAGTAGTAAACGCTAAAAAATCATTAAGACCCACTAGTAAATATAAGCATTGTGATTATTAAGCTCAGAGGTTTATTGTTGTTGTTTTAAAGAATCCTTATACATCGCTAGTGAAAATGTAAAATGATGTAACCCCATTGCAAAAGATGTCTGGGAGCGCATGATCAAGAGAGTGAGCTGAGTGCTTTGTGGATCATACCTCCAATCTTAGTTACTCAGAAGTCTAAGATCTTAGGATCCTGGTTTGGAGCCAACCCAGCCAGGCAGGAAAGTCTGGGAGACGTTTTTTTTTTTTTGTCGGTCATGGGGTTTGAAATCTGGGCCTGTGCACTGTCTCTGAGCTCTTCAGCTCAAGGCAAGTGCTCTACCACTTGAGCCACATTCCCATTTCCAGTTTTCTGGGGATTAATGGGAGATAAGAGTCTCACAGACTTTCCTGTCCAGGCTGGGTTTGAAGTGTGATCCTCAGATCTCAGCCTCCTGAGTAGCTGGGATTATAGGCATGAACCAACACATTTATATATATATTTATATAAATATAGATTTAGAAAACCTTTGTTTTGGGTGCTGTGGCTCAAGTGGTAGAGTGCTCTCCCTCAGCTGAAGAGCTCAGGGACAGTGCCCAAGCCCAGAGTTCAAGCTCCACGATCGAACAAAAAAAACAAAAACAAAAAACAAAAGAAAACCTTTGTTTTTGTTATATCTATATCTTTGTTTTTGTTATCTCTATATATTTTTGTTATATCTGTATCTATAAATATTTGTTACCATAGATAATTATATACTTAAGTGAATACATAGTTATAATAACTTAGGGGGGAAAGAGGAAGAAATCTGTCATTAATAGTAAGTATACTAAATATAAAATTAAATTACATGAAACCAAGTATTACGCTGCAACTGCAGATATAAGCTATCAAAAATCTATTTTTATTTCATCTGATTATTTCAAAGGCTCCTTTTCCAAAAGTCATTTATTTATACTACCTATCTGTACTTATTTAAATAGCTTAAACCATTCTTTTTTTTTTTGGGGGGGGGGGGGGGGTCCGGTCATGGGGCCTGAACTCTGGGCCTGGGCGCTGTCCCTCAGCTCTTCAGCTCAAGGCTAGCGCTCTACCACTTGAGCCACAGCGCCACTTCTGGCTTTTTTTCATTTTGCTTATGTGGTGCTGAGGAATTGAACCCAGGGCCTCAGGCATGCAAGGCAAGCTCTCTACCACTGAGCCACCTCCCCAGCCCAGCTTAAACCATTCTTGCAAATAAAGAGTTCATAAATATTTTTTCTTTCTCCATGGAGAAGCAGCCTGAGGATTTACTTTCTAACATATTTTATATTATTTTTGTCGGTTCTGGGGCTTGAACTCTGGGCTTGGGCGCTGTCCCTGCGCTCTTCAGCTCAAGGTGAGCGCTCTACCGCGTGAGCTACAGTGCTACTTCTGGTTTTCTAGTGGTTTATTGGAGATAAGAGTCTCACGGACTTTCCTGCCCTGCCCGGGCTGGCTTTGAACCACGATCCTCAGATCTCAGCCTCCTGAATAGCTAGGATTATAGGCGTTAGCCACCGGCGCCCGGCTTCTAACATATTTTATAAGCAAATTGAAATAAATTAATAACTTTTTGTAAGATGTTAAAATATAAGATTATTGGGCTCTGTGCCCAGACTGTCTGATTTATTAGCTCTAAGACAAGAACCACAAATCTACGTTTCAAACAAGTGCTCAGGGACAAGCTTTGTTGCTACAGATCCTGAGATTTAGCTCTATCACGAGGGCTTCCCTTTTGTACGAACCCACACTTTAACATGGCTTGCAATCTGCAATAAAGACTTCATCATGCTATGTTTCATGAAAGCATAGTGTGTTTCCTGTCTTATACTCCTTATCTTATACTACTTGGATCTGGTGCCAAGTTATAGTCTATTTGGTCTTGGAAGTATGATATGTAAGCCAAATCTGAGATCTGTAACTACTAGTCATTTAGAGTAGTCCTGATACTACTTTATCCACTTCTGCAAGAAATATCTAGTAGATTTTTATGACCATAAAAAGGTAAGCACAGGTCTGGGGATGTGGCTTAGTGGTAGAGTGCTTGGCTAGCACACATGAAGCCCTGGGTTCCATTCCTCAGTTCCACATAAGCAGAAAAAGCCAGAAGTGAAGCTGTGGCTCAAGTGGGAAAGTGCTAGTCTTGAGCCAAAGAAGCTCAGAGACAGTGCTCAGGCCCTGAGTTCAAGCCCCAAGACTGGCAGAAAAAAAAAAAAAAAGCAGCTAAGCACATGAATTCCAACAGAAAGAATATAATTAAAATCATCTTACATGACTTAAACTAGAAGGCTGCACATCAATAAGTCTTGGTGAGAGAAGGCCAGCTACAAGACAACGATTGTAACCATCAGGAATGACTTCATTGAGAGATGGTCCTGATTTCTTTAGAAAAGTCAAAGTCTGTAACAGATAAATAAGATATGAAGAGACTACACTGCACAAGCAAGGGAAATTATCTATAGGTTCCTGAACTCAACTAATCATTTTCAGCTGTGAATCAACAATTACAGTGTATTTAAGTAGCTTAAATAACTTTTATGAACAGCAACCCTGTTAATCTTCTCGAAAGCTAATAGATTTGGCAACAGATCTTGACAATGACATACATGTGTGTATTTCTACGGGTTGATTATCAAGGAAAAGGTCTGTCACATCATCTTTCCCTAGGTATTTTTCTATTTTTGATGGAAAATACTATCAAACACTATGAAAGGTAGCCAAAATCCATAAAAAGATGCTAAAAACATCCCAAGGCCTCTTCTGGCAAGTTGTTAAAACTAGTACTATTTAGCTGCTATCTCATAAACCTAGCTTAAGTAACTGCTCAAGATAAAAGAGTTATTATAATGAAGCCTGGGGCCTGTGTTCAAGCCTATAATCCTAGTTACTCAGGATGCTAAGATCTGAGGGATCAAAGCCAGCCCAGACAGGAAAGCCTCTGGGACTCTTATCTCCAATTAACCACCAGAAAACAGGAAATGGCCCTGTGGCTCAAGTGGGAGCGTGCTAACCTTGAGATGAACTGCTGAGGGAAAGCACCCAGGCCCAGAGTTCAAGCCCCACAACCAACCCCCCTCCAAAAAAAAGCATTTGTATAATAAATACTAGATACATTCAAAAGTCACATGTATTATATTTGACTTCAATTCCATTCAGAAATACAATTTATAATGCTAAGTCATTGCTCACCTCCTTCTGAAAGCCAGTACAAGTGATATGGATAACTCCAGAGTTCAACAGACAAGTAGCATCTGAAAGAAAGTTGTAAAATTGTACTTCAGTGTCAGTTGTAAAATTGTACTTCAGTGTATAGAATGGCTTTCATGCAACACAATTTATTCTAACATTGCTAGGCAATATAATTATTACACAGAATAAATGTTTAAACTCTTCTAAGCATTTTAACTCAAAGAGTAACAAACTTCATCACAAATAAATTGTGAAAGCTGACATTTTTAAAGTTAATTTTTTTGTGTTAAATTTCTCAACTTGATAATTTTGTTAAGTAATGAGGCATGAATGCAACACCACGACTTTTCACAAAAGGCAAAGTTAGAGAATACATACCAAAATTAAAAGTACTTGGATTAAAAAACTGCTCTGGAGGTGGATATGCAGGAGGAACTCCACGACTTAAACTTCTCTCATGCACTAATATATCCAAGATGTAATGTGGAGAAGTTCTACTTACAACAGCATCCAGTGACCACAATGCAAAATAAGAACAATTATGTAGATATTCTCCTGACCTAAAAGGAAATTTGAAAAAATGATTAAGTCCTTGATAGCTATGTAACATAGGAATGGAGAGGGGGAGAAGAATAATCATACCTTAGTGAATCTGGCATTTGTGCATGATACCAACGATTTATGTCGAAAAGTCCCAGATAGACAGAAGGTTTTCCCTGTCCATATATATTCACTTGCCAGGTGAAGACTGAAACACTGGTGTCAGGAGATAGCGCTGAAAGAAAACAGAAGCCAATTTTAACAGTGAAATAAAATACTCCTAGGAAAATCACCCCAACAGAATCAGAGCAAGATTTTCTCATAAACTAAAGTTATGCTTTAGATTTGGCAAAATACATTTCTATCATTTATATGTAAGAAATTTATTCACTTATTTTTTTCTTGACTATTTATTCTCCTGTTTTGTTTTGGGTCAGAAATTGAGATTTGAATTCCTGATCTGATGTTCTACCACTGAGCCATACCTCTAACCCCTATTTCTCTTTTTGAAAACAGTTAAGTACTCATCAGAAAAGATTATCTTGTTTCTGTTAGCATTTCCGCAACTTTGGGATTCTGGAAGTTTCTACTACAAAATAATCTCAATCAGTATTTTCCCAAGGATGGTACATAGCTAGTACCACAGAAGCTAAATACTTGCTAAAATGGGTGTCTTTGGCAATAAGACTTAACTCTTTAGAGGAACCTTGGGTGAGAAGGACTGGCCTAGTCATTTGGTAAGGGAGAAAAGTCAAGTAACCTAGAGTAACTGTGGACTGGACTAGTATAAAGGGTGAGAATAAGGAGAGAACAAAAAAGGTTAGAAGAGTTTAGTTCATGTTTGACTATGAAAACAGGATCACAGCTACAGAGGAGGGTACAGCAGTAGTGAAATGAATGAGCTCATGATAAGAATTCAACTCACTATAAACACACACACATTACCAAAAGCCCTGATGAAACTTCACACAACTGAAGGCACTGGTGATACTTTCATTTAATCTTCGAGCTAAGTCCTTGAAAAAGCCTCCACGGGTATGGGGAAACAAGTTTAAAATAAGTAAAAAGGTGTAACTAGTGACAGGAATGAAATGTAAATCAACAACCAATTCAAAAAGTCTGTGCCAGGGGCTGGGAAGGTGGCTCAGTGGTAGAGCGCTTGCCTTGCATGCCTGAGGCCCTGGGTTCAATTCCTCAGCACCACATAAGCAGAAAAAGCTGGAAGTGGTGCTGTGGCTCAAGTGGTAGAGTACTAGCCTTGAGCTGAAGAGCTGAGGGACAGTGCCCAGGCCCAGAGTTCAGACCCCACAACTGGACCCAACCCCCCCCCAAAAAAAATAAAGAAAGAAAATCTGTGCCACAACGTTTTTGCAGGAAAAAGATGACAAGGAAGCAGAGACCATATATTAGGTAAGACTGGAGACTATCTCTTATTTTGAGAGTGGGATTAAACACAAGGCTCCTTCATTAGCCATATGCACTTAATTTTTCAGTTTTTTGCAGCAATAGAGAGAGCAAGAAATAATTAATATTTCATACAGGCTTCAGTAAGTTCTATAATCATCATTTTTGAACCAAAAGGTACATGAACGATAGAAACCAGTGTCATAAATTTTGAATCAGGACACATTTTAAGTCAAGCCTTCAAATGATATAGTACTCTCCTTAACAAGTATGGGGGACTGAACTTAAGCCCTCACACACTATAGAAAGTACTCTGTCCCGCAAGCCAGGCCGCCCCACTCCCGCCGATGTCATGCTCTTAGCCAACCTTCATTCATGCCTTCCTCTCTCTCGCCATGCGATCGGAACTTCTCTATGCTCTGGCACCCCAACAACCTGGTGTTACTAGTCTGTCCCCTCAGAGGAAACATGCCACCCGCCAGATCCAGCGTGTATCTTTCTTCACAATATTCTAATCCCTGTAATATAAAATACACACAAATTTTAATAGGACTTAAAATACAAAACAAAGAAAATACAGAACAAATCAGAACAGATCATTGATAAAGGCTCTAAAATTTTACACACAACACAATCAACAAAAATAAAAAGCTAGATTTAGACACATAAAGCTGTATCTTCAAACACAAGACACTTCCATGTACTACCAGTTGGGGTATAAAAATAAAAATCACATGGAGGGTCAGATGCCAGTGGCTCATGTCTATATTTCTAGGTACACTTAAAATGGGGAAAAACAAAGTAGTAACATTCTCATTCTCATTTACCTCATATAAGATTTGTCCTGATGCCAAACATTTTCTATCACCAAAAGCCAACTGAAGAAGGTGCAAACTCAAAATATCCCCTTCACTGAAAGAAACAGAAATCAACTGAGACAAACAAAATATATTATTAAAACACCAAACATGCTAGATGTCCGTGGCTCACACTTGTAATCCCAGCCACTCAAGAGGCTGAGATCTAAGGATCATAGTTCAAAGCCAGACTAACACCTGTAATCCTAGCCCCTCAGGCGGCTGAGAAGTGAAGATCACAGTTCAAAGCCAGCCTGGGCAGGAGAGTCCATGAGACTCTTAATTTCCAATTAATCACTGAAAAGCTAGAAGTAGAGCTGTGGCTCAAGTGGTAGAGTGCTAGCCTTGAGCAAAAAAGCTCAAATTAGAGCTTAGGATAGGGAAAGCTCACCCAAATCATTGTACGAACTTCCTGTAAGACATGGGCAGGAGAGCTGGAGAACAGAGTAAAGGCGAATACTAAAGGAGTGGGGGAATGGGACCATAAATAAGAAGGTTCCCATGAACAGACAGCCTTAAAACTGATCAACAAGAAATTATTTACCACTATTAGTTTAAGCTTTGAAATAACATTTGCAGAAGAATAACAAGCACAATATCTTCCTGCTGCTAAACCAGAATTATTCAAACATGTAGACATAACCATTTAATTTTTTATATAATAATTATTATTATTGTTGGTCATGGGGCCTGGGGCTCTGTCCCTCAGCTCTTCAGCTCAAGGCTAGCGCTCTACCACTTGAACCACAGCGCCACTTCTGGCCTTTTCTGCTTATGTGGTGCTGAGGAATCAAACCCAGGGCCTCATGTATGCAAGGCAAACACTCTACCAACTCAGCTACCTTCCCAGCCCCTAACTTTTAATTATAATCTCAGCTATCACTCCCTAATTCCCTGAATTATACTGCTTTTATTAAAAGAAATGACAGTACAAAGTTTTCTAAAGGAAATCGATTGTTCCTGTTTATTTGCTTATTTTGGTTCTTGCAGGGCTGGGGAACACTTGCGTATGCTCCACTCTTTGCTTTTGTAGTTTGTTCTGTGTTTGGAGATACTGGGATTTGAACTCAGGATCTTGCACTTTCCCAGGCAGATGCTCTACCACTTGAGCCACATCCTTTTTGCTTTAGTTATTTTTCAAATGAGATGGCCTCTACATTAATGTCTAAGCCAGCCTGAACTGAAATTATTAATGCTTCCCCTGTCACCCATGTCACTGAGATGACAGGCACAGGCTACAGCTAGCCTTTCCGTACTGGCCGAGGGCAAGGAGGAGGCTCACTCGCTTTCTCACTCACTCAGGCTCTTGCCTGAGCCTCCTTAGCACCTGTTGGGATCACAGTGAAAACCATCCCACTCTCAGTATCACAAGTATTTTTAAGAACCACATGCATCTACTACTAACCTATCTTGTGTGGACTGAACTGCCCACAAGTAACAGCAATTACGAGGATCATTCTCAGGTTCCTGAAAGATCACAGCATACACAGGAACCCTTCCACCTTCCAACTGTGTGTAATATCTGTAACAGACCGAGAATCAGTACATTGCTTGCTTTTTCCCCCCGTTGGTCATGGTGCTTTAACTCCAGGGCTTGAGTGCTACATTATTAAGTTATGATTTAATACAATTAAAGGTAAGTCAGTCACTATTCTCATGCTAATCTGTAAACAAGTGAATCTAAGACATATTCAAGAAAAAACTACCAAAAGAAAAGAAAGTTAGACTTACTCTCTTTTTAAGCTTTTCATATTCCAGAGTGCTAGGTAGCCATCAGAAAACCCCACAGCCAGCTGATTGGTCCTGGAAACGTAACTGAGAGCAGAAACAGCTATGCCAGATGGGCTCACCAACTGGAAACACAGATGGCGCCCTTCCCTCATCACATTCTCTCTGATGTGTGGTACCTCAGCTGGAATGCCAGTTATAACTTCAAGGTCTAAAGCGAAAGACAAGTTAGATTTCAAACCACAAAGTCAACTGAGTTAACTAAAATAAAAAATTAGTAATAACAAAGCATGTCAAACTAGAATATAGTCATCCTAATCCATGGAAATGCCACGATATTAATTTATGTTAGCTATGCAGTTTCATAAATTCACTACAGAGCTGGACACTGGGCTCACGCCTGTAATCCTAGCTACTCAGGGGGCTGAAATCTGAGGATCATGTTTCGAAGCCAGGCTAAGAAGAAAGTCTGTGAGACTCTTATCTCCAGTTAACTATGAAAAAAGCTGCAAGTGGAACTGTAGCTCAACTAGAACACCAGCTTTGAGCAGAAAAACCTCAGGAACAGTACCCAGGCCCTGAGTCAAGCCCCAGGATGGACACCCCTAACCTCCCAGTGCTCTTCCCCCAAAAACTATTTCAAATGTTAAGTCAGAATTCCGTTTTTCTGCTGGTGCTGGTGGCTCATGTCTATAATCTTAGCTGCTCAGGAGGCTGAGATCTGGGGACTGCAGTTCAAAACCAGCCCAGGCAAGAAAATCTGTGAGACTCTTATCTCCAATTAGCAACCAGAAAACAAGGAGTGGTGCTGTAGCTCAGTGGTAGAGCACTAGCCTTGAGCAAAACAGCTCAGGAACATTAAGCACCATGACCAACCAAAAAAAAAAAAAAGTGTTTGTTGTCAGGGCTGCTTTCAAATTACAGTCTTCCTGATCCCTACCTCTCAAAGTGGCTAGGATGACAGTTGACCCACAACCTCTGGGTCAGAATCCTCTTCTTTAAAAGGGTTAAACAATTCTTGTAGGAAACATGAGTTCAGGTGGAATGTCTTCATTAAAATGTAAGACATAATCTCAATACTTCCCTTAAATAAATAGCTGGTTCTCAATCTGCAAAAATGTAAATCAGTCTGATACACCTTATGCCAAAGATCTAGGAAGCTAATAAAACAACTGAAGGGCATGTGTCACCTGATGGAAAAACTCTCATAAGCAAAGACAAGCAGCACAGTGACCAAAAACATAAAAATAAATGAAACAAAGAATGTTAACCTTATAATCTGTTAATGATATTCAAAGGAGGGAGGGGGAGTAAAGAGGAAGTCCACATTGCTCACCTGCAAAGACCTTACTGACCACAGGAATTATTTAGTAGCAACTCTTAGTATTGTGAAAATTACTAAAGACATAATGAACATTAATCGATCTTTTCTATATAAAATGCATTTCAAGGTACTCAAATAGATCCACTTAGTAAGAAAATTCTTTTTTTTTTTTTTTTTGGGTCAGTCATGGGGCTTGAACTCTGGGCTTGGGTGCTATCTTTGCGCTCTTCAGCTCAAGGTGAGCGCTCTACCGCTTGAGCCACAGTACCACTTCTTCCGGTTTTAGAGTGGTTTATTGGAGATAAGAGTCTCATGGACTTTCCTGCCCTGCCCGGGCTGGCTTTGAACCTAGAGCCTCAGATCTCAGCCTCCTGAGCAGCTAGGATTAAATATGTGGGCCGGATAGAAAATTCTTTAAATGGGCAGAATTTAGAAATCCATTCCGAGGGCTGGGAAGGTGGCTCAGTGGTAGAGCGTTTGCCTTGCATACCTGAGGCCCTGGGTTCAATTCCTCAGCACCACATAAGCAAAAAGAAAAAAGCCGGAAGTGGCACTGTGGCTCAAGTGGTGGAGCGCTAGCCTTGAGCTGAGGGACAGCGCCCAAGCCCAGAGATCAGGCTTCACGTCCGGACCCAAAAAAAGAAATCCATTCAGAAAGAAATCATTTTGTAGCTACTAACAAATTAGGAAATCAATGCAACAACCTCAATGAAACAGCCAACTTAAAGTAGGGTTTTTCAATCTGGGCACTAACATTTCAGGTCAATTAATTCTCTGCTGTGGAAGACTGTTCTGAGCATTATAATGTATTAAAACCACATCCCTGGTCTCTTAGTTACTGGCACCGTCACTGTCTCTCCAGTAGTAACAGTAGTGACTGCTGGCTGCAGTATGCATGAAGACCCAGGCTCTGCTGGGAGGAATGGAGGGAGGGCCAATTTCACTGCACTGCAAATATATCCTAGAGGACAAAATTCACCTTTGGTTGGAAATAGTGTCTTGTGTAAGCCTAATGTCATGATGTAGGCCAATAATCCTTGAATTTTAGAGGCTGAGGTAGGAGGGATCCAACTTTTTTTTTTTTTTGGTCAGTCATGGAGCTTGAACTCTGGGCCTGGGCGCTGTCCCTCAGCTCTTCAGCTCAAGGCGAGCGCTCTACCACTTGAGCTACAGCGCCACTTCCGGTTTTCTGGTGGTTTGTTGGAGATAGGAGTCTCACGGACTCTCCTGCCCGGGCTGGCTTTGAACCGCGATCCTCAGATCTCAGCCTCCTGAGTAGCTAGGATTACAGGCGTGAGCCACCAGCGCCCAGCGAGGGTTCCAACTTTTAAAAAAACAAAAACAAGGATGTCTGTAATTGTAGCTACTCAGGAGACTCATGAAGGCTGGCAATTTCTTTTTTCTCTAGATACTAGGGTTTGAACTCAGGGCTTCAAGCTTTAGCTTAGTTTTTTCACTAAAGAATCACACCTTACTACCACTTAAGCCATACTTCTACTTCCAGCTTTTTGCTGGTTAATTGAAGATAAGTCATGCAGATTTTTCTGACCAGGCTGGCTTCAACCTCAATGCTCAGATCTCAGGCTCTTCAGTAGATAGTATTATAGGCAAAACCCACCTTGCTCATCTTTCATTTATTTATTTTGAGACAAGGTCTCTTTATGTAGCCCAGGCTGGCCTTGAACTCCATATTCCTGCTCAACCTCTTAAGTGCTAGGATTACAGGTATGTGCCACCATGCCCAATATAGGCAGCTTTGAAAATGATCACATCGTCAATTTGAGCCTTCTCACTAAAAAAATAAGTAGACACCATGTATCTCCTACTGTGATACCATGTATCCAAATATGGATGCTCTAAAGTACCCTCACTATAGGGAAGGTAGCCTGGGCTGCATAACAAAATAGTCAAAAAGACAATAAAGGACGACAAGAGACAAGAAGGGAAAGGGAGGGGAAGGTTCTATAATTATAATCCAGAGACGTTCATTAAAAAATTCTTCCATTCTGTTTATACTTGTGTGGCTCACATCTATAATACTAGCTAAGCCTCTCAGGATGCTGAGATCTAAGGATCTCAATTCAAAGTGAACCAAACCTAGGTAGCCAAATCCCAGAGACTTTTTTTTTTTTTTGCTGGTCATGGGGCCTGAACCCTGGGTCTGGGCGCTGTCCCTCAGCTCTTCAGCTCAAGGCTAGCGCTCTACCACTGGAGCCACAGCGCCACTTCTGGCTTTTTCTGTTATGTGGTGCTGAGGAATCAAACCCAGGGCCTCATGCTTGCAAGGCATGCACTCTACCTTCCCAGCCCCATCCCAGAGACTCTTATCTCCAATTAACCAGCAAAAAAGCTGAAAGGGAAGAATACAACTTGAGTGAAAAAGCAAAATAAGAGGATGAGTCCTAGAGTTAAAACCCACAGTACCAGCAGTATATCCACAGTTACTTACATACATTTACGTATTTTTATCTATATATTTACATTCACATTTATATTTACACATGCTTACCTATATGTATTAATTTACATATACACATACATGGATAATTACACATAAGTTAACAAAGATTGATCATTTCAATCACTAGTTTCTCTTTTCTTTTGTAGAAAGTGTCTTTTCATGTAGTCCAGGCTGGCCTCAGTCACGATAATCCTGCGCTAGCCTCTGGAGTGAGTTGGCTACGGTTTTCAAGGACAAGTTTTTGTTTTTGTTTTTTTTTTTTTGCTTGAGGCTTGAACTCAGCATCTGGGCTGAGATCCTTTTGCTCAAGGCTAGTATTCTACCACTTAAGCTACAGCTTAGTTCTGGGTTTTGTGTGTTTGGTTGGTTACAGGGCTTGAACTGGGGGCCTCTTTTGTTCAAGGCTAATGCTCGCTCCGCCACTTTGAGCTATACCTCCACTTCCGGTATTCTGGTGGTTAACTGGAGATAAAACGAGTCTCATGGACTTTCCTTCCTGGGCTAAGTTTGAACCTCAAATCTCAGCCTCCTGAGTAGCTAGTATTACAGGCCTAAGTCACCAGCACTAAGCTAACTTCTAGTTTTTGATAGTTAATTGGAGATAAGGATCTCACATAAGACTTTCCTGCCAGAGCTGACTTCAAACCATAATCCTCAGATCTCAGACTCCCAAGTAAGTAAGATTTTACATATGAGACACTAGTGCTCAGCTCAAAGACTATGTTAACAATACTCAAAATAGGGTAACTCATACAAAAAAGAATTCACAGTGCCCAAGTGAACACAATTTTTAAAAAAGACATGTAAACAGTTTTCTATATTAAAAAGTGACCATTAAAAAACAAACAAACAGGGGCTGGGAAGGTGGCTCAGTGGTAGAGTGCTTGCCTTGCATGCCTGAAGCCCTGGGTTCAATTCCTCAGCACCACATAAGCAGAAAAAGCCGGAAGTGGTGCTATAGCTCAAGTGGTCGAGCACTAGCCTTAAGCTGAAGAGCTGAGGGATAGCGCCCAGGCTCAGAGTTCATGCCCATGACTGACAAAAAAAAAAAAAAAAAAAACTAAAATTTGCCGGGCGCTGGTGGCTCACGCCTGTAATCCTAGCTACTCAGGAGGCTGAGATCTGAGGATCGCGGTTCAAAGCCAGCCCGGGCAGGAAAGACCGTGAGACTCCTATCTCCAATAAACCACCAGAAAACCGGAAGTGGCGCTGTAGCTCAAGTGGTAGAGCGCTCGCCTTGAGCTGAAGAGCTGAGGGACAGTGCCCAGGCCCAGAGTTCAAGCCCCACGACCGACCAAAAAAAAAAAAAAAAAAAAAAAAAACAGTCCTTCCTATTAGATCATTCAGTTGCTCAAATTTTGTTTTCAAAAATTCATGGTCTAAGAATATGGCTTAATGGTAGAGTGTTTGCCTAGCATGCACGAAGCCCTGGGTTCAATTCCTCAATACCACATAAACAAAAGCCAGGAATGGTGCTGCAGCTCAAGTGGTAGAGCGCTAGTCTTGAGCAAAAAGAAGCTCAGGAACAGTGCCCAGGCCCTGAGTTCAAGCCCTAGGGCTGGAAAAAAGAAAAAAGCAAAAGAACGCATAATTACCTGATGCTTCTACTTCATTTTGATTGCCTAAATCATCCAAACACAGGTCAATAAGAAGGATTTGTCCAACATCAGTAACAACAGCTGCCACACCAAAAAGCCATCGCAGACTTGGGTGTAAATGCTGAGTGCTTGCGCTGGCTCCTCCATGATTGGTTATAGGTTCTATAGCAGTTACCTAGAAAGCAGAGTATGTGATTAGCTTTATTTTCTTCAAAGTAAGACAACCAACTCTTCAAAATGTGAAGTTAAAGCAGATTAGTTATAAGATTAAATATTATCAAATATAGAACCCAAAGTTTGTATCTGATACTTGCAAATCCAAGTAAGTCTTAGCTGAATCAACAATTACACTATTTCTATATTAAAAATTCAGTTAAGTAATGTTCATTGAGAGCTTATAGTGTGTTAGTCTTTGTGCTAACTAGTATATTTAATGTTCATGCAATCCTTTCATACTAGACTACATACTACTCTGTTTAAAGATGAAATAATCTGAGGCTTAGCATGTTGGCCAAATTATTTAAAAAGCATTATTAAGCACAAAACCCAAACCTAAATTTGCCTAATTGTAAAGCTCTTAACTCTATACAGCCTTTGTGTTAAGAGCAAAACCAAGCCATGTATAGTGATGCACACCTGTAATCCCAGAACTAAGAGAAAGGCTGAGGCATGAGATATGAGAGTTGGAAGAAAGTTTAAGCATGTATGCAGAAAATTCTATTCTTAGGATTTGTGCATTTCAAGTATATACTTTTTTCTAATAAAGTATATGTAGAAAGTCAGCAATAAACCTTAAGAAATAATTCTGAACATTTTCATGTCTGGAAATATGGAAATCCTATCTATGATAGAATAAATAGAAATTATAAATGAATACATTATTTAAGGAATTCAAGTCTTAACAATGAAGATGTTTTCCATATTGCTTTAAAGCTATAATCTCAAATACAAAATATTTAAAAACCCTATAGTAACATGCATTTTATATACCATTTATAAATGAGATAAAAGCAAGATTTAGATGATATTTTTCACATAAACCAGAAACATTAGTTATCAGTTATCATGTCTTGCTTTGACATTTTCTGACAAAGAGTAAAAAAGCTATGTTTTAAGTCTTATGTATAACAATATCTTTGGATCTTTTTACTGAAGAACAAATTTACACAAAAAGGTTTTTTTTTTGTTTGTCTGTCTGTTTTTTGCTGGTCATGGGCCTGAACTCTGGGCCTGGGCGCTGACCCTCAGCTCTTCAGCTCAAGGCTAGTGCTCTACCACTTTGAGCCACAGCACCACTTTCAGCTTTTTCTGCCTATGTGGTGCTGAGGAATCAAACCCAGGGCCTCATGCATGCAAGGCAAGCACTCTACCACTGAGCCACTTTCCCAGCCCACAAAAAGGTATTAATTGCAAGCAGATAGTTCTGTGATTTTCAATGTGCACATCTTCCTGCAAACTTTGAGCTTCGAAAGCAGAATAATTCAGGTATCTTAACCAGAACTTACCCTTCCAGGAAGAACAACTGCTTTAACAACTCTTGATATACCAAGATCATAAAGACATAGAATACTCCCTTCTGCTTCTTCCAATCCTATTAACAATCCAGTTCTCTTCTGCCAAGAAAACTCTTTCACTGCTAAGACTACAGGAGACTGTTCATTGACTCCACTGAATCGATAGGCAGACAACCGCTCTCCTGTTACAGAGTTTACCACCTCAAGTTGTGGACCACAAGCCAAGCAAGCTAGTCCATTTTTCCCTAAGGAGAAAAAAAAATGAATTATTGTTTATTTTACTTATTTTTTCTGTCAGCTTGTGTTATTTAGATTTTTGCTCAAGACTGATGCTCAACCACCTAAGTCACACCTCCATTTCTGGCTTTTTGCTGGTTAGGTGGAGATATGATTTGTTGGGTTGGATAGGTTCGAAACTCAACCCTCAGATCTCAGCCTCCTGAGTAGGTTATGATTACAGGCATGAGCCACCAGTGTTTATTTTAGTTCCATAACTATACAACAAAATTAAACAGTTGGGGCTGGGAAAGTGGCTCAGTGGTAGAGCATTTGCCTTGCATGACTGAGGCCCTGGGTTCGATTCCTCAGCATCACATAAGCAAAAAGAAAAAAGCTGGAAGTGGCGCTGTGGCTCAAGTGGTAGAGCGCTAGCCTTGAGCTGAAGAGCTGAGGGACAGCGCCCAGGCCCAGAGTTCAGGCCCCACGACCGGACCCAAAAAACAAACAAACAAAAAAAAAATTAAACAGTTTGCTCTTTTACATGTATTTTAATATATAGCTCATTCCACAAGTCACATTATTTCCCCAAAATAAAATATTTAATCATTTATAGAACTCTTAATGCCGTTTAACTTGCTTCAAATCATTTACAACACAACACAGTATCAAAATAGATACCAGTCAGCCTAATTGTAAAGCTCAGACTTTTATACCTTAAAGGTTTAAAATGGGCACTATGGCAGTTATAAAATATAACACAGTTCTATCTGTAAACGAAGAGTTGACCAGTGTAAAATATAAAACTGAGAGCTGGGCGCCACCAGTGGCTCACGCCTATAATCCTAGCTACTCAGGAGGCTGAGATCTGAGAATCACTGTTCAAGCCGGCCTGGGCAGAAAAGTCCCCATGAGACTCATTTCCAGTTAACTACTCAGAAATGGAGCAGTGGCTCAAAGTGATAGAGCGCTAGCCTTGAGCAAAAGAGCTCATGGACAGCTCCGAGGCCCAGAGTTCAGGCCCCACGACAGGACCCTTCCCCCTCCCCCAAAAAAGAAATATTCTGTGATGACTTTGCTCAAAAGGCAAACTGTCATGGCTACTTTGTTATGACTCTCTGTGATAGTATACAATCTAAGTTTATTAACTGACCAAGTGTCAGAGGCTATAATCCTAGCTAAGAAAACTGAGATCTGAGACTCACTAAAGCCAGCCCTGGCAGGAAAGTCCATGGGACTTTTATCTCCAATTAACCAGCAAAATGCCAGAATTGGATTGTGGCTCAAGTAAGGGCTAGTTTTAAGCAAAAAAGGTAAGGGATAGCACCTAGGACCTGAGGTTAAGCCCAGTACCAAGGAGAGAGCTATAAATTAAAATCTTGTTCAGATTAATAGAATTAGATTAAAATAAAATCTTGTTCAGATTAGTGGAACTAGAAAATAAACCTTAATGAAAATAAATTCCTAGATTTTTCTACTCAAAAAATTATTTGAAGCTGGGCGCTGGTGGCTCACGCCTGTAATCCTAGCTACTCAGGAGGCTGAGATCTGAGGATCACGGTTCAAAGCCAGCCCGGGCAGGAAAGACTGTGAGACTCCTATCTCCAACAAACCACCAGAAAACCGGAAGTGGCGCTGTAGCTCAAGTGGTAGAGCACTCGCCTTGAGCTGAAGGACAGTGCCCAGGCCCAGAGTTCAAGCCCCACGACCAACAACAAAAAAAAAAAATTAAAAAAAAAAAAATTATTTGACTCACCATCAATAAAACTGAATAGTGAAAAGAATTCTATATTTCTACTTTTCAGATACTAAAAAATACATATATACAAATATAGACGACTTTAATAAGGAAAGGACCCCACTAAAGATTCACAGATAGAGTGCAGATGTGCCACACAGTTACAGATGTAATAAGACAACTCTGCCCATGTTTTGTTTTTTTTCTTTTTCACATTAAAGAAACCAATTCAACAACAGTATTTTACCTGCAGCAAACTTGCCACGAAGCACAGACTCTAATGTTATTTCATCTTCTCCGAGGGCTTGAATAGTCACTTCTGGGAACTGGAGGAGCCTACTAGTCACTTGAGCTATCAAGTCTCGCATATTTCCACTGTAAATATTTTTAAAAGACAACATTACTATGATATATTTACGTCTCTATATAATATACTTGACTATTTCCAGCAGGGTAGCTATATTAAGAAAGAAGGACACACATGAAAGTAAAACAAAATTTTATCATAAACTACATTATTATATACATGTGGATTTGAGATAGTCTCTCCTAAAAAAATGTGTTTTTTTCTGGACACAGTTGTCTCACGCCTGTAATCCTAGTTACTTAGGAGGCTGAGATCTGAGCATCAAGGTTCAAAGGCAGCCTGGGCAGGAAAGACCGTGAGACTCTTATCTCCAATTAATCACCAGAAAACCAGAAATGGCACTATGGCCCAGGTGGTAAGAGTGCTCACCTTGAGCTGAAGAGCTGAAAGACAGCACCCAGGCCCAAAGTTCAAGCTCCACGACCAACAACAACAACAAAAAGTACTTCTTGGGGCTGGGAAGGTGGCTCAGTGTTAGAGTGCTTGCCTTGCATGCCTGAGGCCCTGGGTTCGATTCCTCAGCACCCCATAAGCAAAAAGAAAAAAGCCGGAAGTGGCGCTGTGGCTCAAGTGGTAGAGTGCTAGGATTGAGCTGAAGAGCTGAGGGACAGTGCCCACGCCAGAGTTCAGGCCCCACGACTGGACCGCCCCCCCCAACGTACTTTTTTTTTGGGGGGGGGGGGGAAGGAGGTCATGGGGCTTGAACTCAGGTCTGGATGCTGTCCCTGAGCTCTTTTGCTCAAGGCTAGCACTCTACCACTTTGATCCATAGCTGTACTTCTGTCCCTGAGCTTCTTTTGCCACAGCAACATTTCCATCTTTTTCAGAGTAGTTTATTGGAGATAAAGAGTTTCCCAGGACCCTTAATCTAAGCCTCATAAGTACTTGGACTGCAGGCATGAACAACCAGTATTAAAAGTTTAAATAACTCTTCCTGTAGATCTAGCCTATAAACATGTCAAGTTGGTGGTATCATAAGGCTATCGAACTCTACATTCTCCCTCTTCCTTTATCCACCTTCTCTTACTCTCTTCCTTGCTGAACTGGCAGAGGGACCTTCTGCTCCTTGGACCACTCACAGCTGGTACCCTACTACATGAGCCACACTTCCAGCTTGGCTTTTTGCTGATTAATTGGAGATGGACTCTAACTTTTCTTCCTGGGCTGGCTTGAACCTCTACTCTCCTGGTCTCAGCCTGCATAGCTAGGATTACGGGTGTGAGTCACAGGAGCTGAGCAGCTCACTAACCATTTCAGTGACCTCTCTCTCTCTCTTTTTTTTTTTGGGTGGGTCATGGGTCTTGAACTTGGCCTGGGCGCTGTCCCACTGATGCCTGGCTAGTGATCTCTTTTTTTACTTCCCACATTCAACTACGAATCTCTTTATGTGAGTCTATTTCTGTAATCATTCAACAACCCTACGATGGTAGAATGAACTGCTTCCTATCTGTAGTGCAGTGGCCCCTTCCTCTTCATTGTTCTGTATCTTCAGCTCATCTCTCCTTTTTGTTTTCTTTCACAAGTTAAGCTTTGAATCTATAGGGGAAAGTGGTTTCAGGAGTTTTCAAACTTAAGTAGTTAAGAGAATTTCTAAAATCTAAATTAAAACTCACACAAACACAAAGAAGCCATTTTCAATGCTGTACTAAACTAAGTAAGGTCCAAGCCTTTTATGAAATACCAAAGAGTAATTTACGAGGTTTTAGTTCCTTACCAAGATCTAGATAGATTAAGAACACTACTGGCTGTTCAGTCTAAGAACTATTCATCTTCTTGACAAAACTCTAGTCCCAAAAGCCTTCAATAACTATTCCTTAAAAATGTTATTTCAGCCACCAGCAACTAAGGATCTCCAAAATCTAACAGGCCTACAGCATGACAATTTACTACATTTCCCTAAAGCCCTTCCTTCATCAACTGGCCGTGTCTAGAAATTTCCTTCTTTTATTTATGTGGTTCATCATCTACTTCCATCTACCAAATTATTCCCATTCAACGACTAACTTCCCAGAAGTCAGAAGGTGGTTCAGTGGTAGAGGGCTTGCCTTGCATGCATGAGGCCCTGGGTTCGATTCCTGAGCACGACCTAAGCGGAAAAGCTGGAAGTGGCACTGTGGCTCAAGCGCTAGAACTCTAGCCTAGAGCTGAAGAGTAGCTGAGGGACAGTGTCCAGGCCCAGAGTTCAGGTCCCATGACCAACCAAAAAAATAAATAAATAAAACCTCACCAGGAGAGTAGGAGAATCATCAGAGCCCCTAAGTTTCGTCTGGTCAGCACAATGAGGTCAAAAGGGCAGAATGTAAGGACCTACCCCAAGGACAGTTTTTTTCTTTTGGTGGGGGGAAGGGACATACTGGGATTTGAGCTCTGGGCTTACTGGGTTTGCTAGACTGGCACCCTACCAGTTGAGCCACTCCTCCAGCACTGCTTTTTGCTGGTTATTTCTGGAGATGAAGTCCAGAAGACTTTTCTGCTGGGGCAGACCTTAAACTGAGATACGGTAAGTCACCCTTGCCTAGCAAGGGTGTTTACTTTCTACAAGAGACCATACATAATCAGACAAAACTACGTGCTACAATGGATGGAGATACACATGATGTGAAATTCTAGGGAAGAAGTATCATAGGAGAAATGAAAGTGCAGAAGAAAGACAGTGGTTAAGCAGAGGATGAGAAGCACCCAAGTTGAAGTCTATAAGGGAATAAACATCAAAATTCAAACTCTCTCTCCCCAGGTATACGGGCAGGGAGTGGTGGTGACTGGAGAGTTGACCCACAAAGTTGTAAGCAGGAGGCTAGATGGAGTAGACTGAGAGACCTTCGAGCCAGCCTAAGGCAAGAGGACTTCATTCTGGGTGGAGAACGAGGGCTGGTAGAAAAAAAAAAAAATCACCGTAGAGATCTTTAAAAAAACCCAAAAGCTCTTCAGATACACAGCCCCACACGCCTATATCACTAATGATCTTTTAAAAACTTATTAAGTAATCATATTACTTGAGAACCGTGGACGTTTCACTATTACATTAAAAGCTAGGATCAGCCAGGAGCTGCTGGCTCACACTGGCAATCCTGTTACTCTGCAGGCGAAGGTCCTGGCTCTACACTAGCCCAGAAGACCCTATCTCCAAAACCATCAGCAAGAAGTCGAGCTGGAGACCGGCGCAAATGGTAGAGCACCAGCCAGCTAACATTAGCCACGCAGCAGCAGTCCATGAGCTCAACCCCTGTACCGGCAGGGAGGAAAGCAGCGAGCACACAGCCTGCCCTGGGCGCCTGTCATCGCCGGCCCAATCCCCTGGATGAGCACGCGTACCGCGACGGCCGTCCTCGCCGAGCCTGCGGGCGGGAGCTCCGAGGCTCCAAAGCCCAGGGAAGACGCGGCGGTCTGCGGGGGAGAGCCGTGGGGTTGTTCCAGAGAACGCACGTTCTACCCGGAATCTCCCCAACCGGCTGTGGTTTTTAACCGCGGCGGGGTGCCGTCCAGTGGCGGGGGGCGCGCGCCTAGAACGCGCGGGGCCCCGGGTTCGGCCCGCACCGAAAATAAACAAATCCGAGCCACGCTCGTTTCTGGCCCCCACACGGCCTCGCCGTGAACTTGGTTGGCTCGGACAAGAAAGTGAACCGGTCCCCAACCCAACCGAGCCACCCACGGCGACAGGCGCCCCTGCCCGCCGCCCCGAAGCGGCGGGCCGCCCCCCCCCCCGCCCCGCCGCCCTCGGTCGCCCGGCCCGCAGACCGTGCTCCGCACACTTCGGAAACGCGGGTTCAACTTTGTTCCCGGCGGGACTCACCCGAGCGGGATCCACGCGCAGCGGGGGGAGCTGCGCTCGCCCGCAGCCTCTCCCGCGGGGAGGCCCGCCAAGGTCTCCACCGAGCCCGGGGACCGCGGGGCCCGGCCGCGCCGCAGGCCGGGGAGCAGCCACCGCTGCGATCCGCTACGCGTCTCCGCCGCCATGTGCCTCCTTCCGCCGCGCCGCAGGTTATGTAACCACCGCCCCGCGCCCGAGCGAGCCGCACCGGCCGCCGCCCGCGCCCGGCCCCCGCGCGCCCGGCCCCGGCCTAGGCCCCGGCCGCCGCCCCGCCCTCGCCGCGCCGCGCGACCCGCGCTCCCCGCCTACCTCGGCCCGCGGGGCCCGGCCGCCGCGTCCCGGATGCTCGAGGAGGCGCGCGCCGCTCCGCGGGGTCCGTCACCGCATCTCCCCGGAGACGCGGCCACGCAACTCCGCCCGCGGACGCTGCCCGCGGCCTCCCGGACACCCGCAAGACGCTGCTTCGGGCCGGAGCGCCGCTCAGCGGCGCCTCTCGTCGCGGCTCTGCGGGGCCCGCCGCGGCCGCGTCCGGCGCATTACCCCGGGCAGACCCACAGCCACTCTCGCACACACACGCGCACGCACACGCACACACACACACCCGGGAGGGCGGGAGGCCGGCCAGGGAAGCGAGGAGCAGCCCAGGTCGCGCGGCGAGGACGGCAGTTCTCGCGAGGCTTCCTGCTTCCGGCGCCGGCGCCGCGGGAATTTTCAAACTTTCCGTGAGAGCCGAGGGATCGAGAGGAAGGGAAGTCGTGTCAGGAAGAGCGTCTCATTTGCATAAATTAGCATCTCCCCTCCTCCCACGAGCTGCGCGGGGGCGGGGGGGAGGAGAAAGACCGTGGTCCCAGGGTGCCTTGCGCGGCGGGAGCGGCGGTCGTCACAGAGGCCCGGCGCCGGCCGCCGACCTTCGTGTGAGGTGATTCCCGGCGCGGTTGGGCTTCGCGGTCCGGTCGGCGGCCGACCGGTAACTTCTGCCCTCTGTGTTTCTTTTCGTTTCCCGAACTTTTCTCCTCCTGGATTCATGTTCCGGCGGGCTCTCCCGGCCAGAGCTGCCCGTTCGTGTCGGTGGAGTTGGCTGGGGCGAAGCCGGGAGCCGCGCGTGTCCGACGCGCGCTGGGCCCGGGTCCCACCCCCGGGTCCCGGGTCCCGGGTCCCGGGTCTCTCCCCGGAGCCCCGAGTCCCACCCCGGACGCGCGCTGGGCCCGGGTCCCACCCCGGGGCCCCGAGTCCCACCCCGGACGCGCGCTGGGCCCGGGTCCCACCCCGGGGCCCCGAGTCCCACCCCGGACGCGCGCTGGGCCCGGGTCCCACCCCGGAGCCCCGAGTCCCACCCCGGACGCGCGCTGGGCCCGGGTCCCACCCCGGGGCCCCGGGTCCCACTCCGGACGCGCGCTGGGCCCGGGTCCCACCCCCGGGTCCCAGGTCTCACCCCGGAGCCCCGAGTCCCACCCCGGACGCGCGCTGGGCCCGGGTCCCACCCCGGGGCCCCGGGTCCCACCCCGGACGCGCGCTGGGCCCGGGTCCTACCCCCGGGGCCCTGGTCCCACCCCCGGGCCCGGGTCCCACCCCGGACGCGCGCTGGGCCCGGGTCCTACCCCCGGGGCCCTGGTCCCACCCCCGGGCCCGGGTCCCACCCCAGCCCCACTAGGCGGGGCGGCTGTGCGTCTTGCCGCTTAGTAAGCACCTGCTCTGGGGAAGGAGAGTCTGGGTGGTGCGGAGAAGATGCTGCGTCCGCACGGGGCGTCCGTCGGGCCTACCGGCTCCCCGTGTCGCCTTGTGAAGAGTAGGCTGCCTTCTGGGTCTGTAATTCTTGTCATAATTCCCCTACCGACTGCACACCTACGGTGTTCGCGCCAGCTACTGTAGTGCTAATTCGTAGCAGCAGAGGACCAGTGGTTTGTTGCCCTCGTTTGTTTTTGTTTGGTGTTGGAAATGGAACCCACCAGGGCCTGCTTAACAGCTGAGCTACGTGCACCCTCAGCCCCATTACAAACCATCCCTCTCCTTGCACTCAGCGCTCCCCAAACAGCCGTGACCCAGAACTGTCCTTACTGATCGCCCAGCTAAACATCTCCCTTCCCCTTCTCCTTCCCCTTGAACAAATGTAGCAGCAGTCTTGGAAGAGAGACCGAAACCAAGGCCTCTCTGATGCTGACGCGCCTAACGAACACAGATGCTGTTGACACCTTGAAACTCCTCAGTCAAAATAGCACTGCTCACCCACCCTAACTCCATCTCACTCTGCTTCCATCTGCTCCCCCCTCCACCCCCCACTTCACTGTTTCTTGCCTAATATTTAAAGAGCCCCAGTTGTAAGGGAATGCACCATTTCCCATCAGCCGGGCTAAAGGAGACTTGGTCGCCCTTCCCAGGCCCGACTTCCAAATAAAGCCTGGTGTCTGCTTAAAACCTGAACTAAAGTCAGGCTCTGGTGGCTCACACCTGTAATCCTAGCTTCTCGGCAAGCTGAGATGTGAGGATCACAGTTCAAAGCCAGCCAGGGCAGAAAAGGCTGTGAAACTCTTTATTTCCAATAAACTACTCAGAAAATCAGAAGTGGCACTGTGGCTCAAGGGGTAGACTGCTAGCTTCGAGCTGAAGAGCTGAGGGACAGCACCCAGCCCCAGAGTTCAAGCCCCATGACCAACAAAAAAACAAAAAAGACCCTGAACTAACCCTATCTATACTATTTTATTTCTCTACATATTTTCTGAGAATCATTTAGAACTCTCCTCCAAACTTGGATTACCTTTCCAGTTTACTTTCCCTCTTACCTAAGTCTCTTTTTCCTTTTTTCTTCTCTCCTCTTCCCCCAACTAAGAATCACACCCAGGGCCTTAGCCAGTATTCTACTATTGAGCTTTTTACACCCCCCCCCCCCCCCCCCCCCAGTAACTCAGGCTGTATGTGACTCATGTAACTATGTAACTCAGACTAACCTTGAACTTACTGTATAGCTCCCAGATGGTGGGATTACAGGCTAACCACTGAGTCTCCTCTTTCACTATCTAAATCTCTCTCAGGGGCCAACTCAAGCTCTTTTTTACCCGTTCTTCCCTTCAACTTCAGCCCACACGAACCATTAAAAATTTGTCTTGAAATGTGCTAGCTGTGTTATTTTATGTCTGTTTCCCTTTTTGCCTCTGACTCTCTTCATCCACCCACCATCTTCAGGCTACCCTGCAGCACAGACTACCTCTCTTGAAAATGCTTCCCTCACACATGTATTTTATTAGGGCCCCAAAGGCTAGCTGAGAGTTGTACTACTTGAGCCACAGCTCCAGCCCTTTTATATGTTGATATCTTCTCATTTTATACTCGGCTGGCAAGGAACTGCAGTCCTCTGACATGTGCTTCCCTATGTCATTGGGGACCACAGACTTATGCCACTGTGCCCAGCCATTGTGCTTCCCCTGTAGCTGGGATGGCAGGTGGGCACCACCCTGCCCAGGCATTGATTGAAGTCCTGACTGGCCTGTTACTACCATTCCCCAGTTTCCTTCCTAGCTAGCATTACAGACCTAAAGCACCGCATCCAGTTCATACCTGCTGCTTTCTTTGCAAACTGAATTTCTGACTTAAAGCTCTCTTTCAAGCTTTTTTCTTCTTTCAGGCATTTCACTAAGCATATGCAAGATAAATGAAAAAAATTTTGCATTTGACATTCAGGGTTTGGGAAAGGCTGATTAAATAAAATTGAGCATTCACTTTACATAATACTTAACTGCTTTTAATATACTTGGCACTCCCCTAACTTGCTTGCCTGTGGTGTCCATTTACATTTGGAGAATACCTTGCCTTATCTTAGTAGCCCACAGAATAGACTTCAGTAAACATGTCTGCAAAGCTTTCTCTCATTGGAGGAAGCATATTGTAAGAATGTACCCATTTGGGACCACACTGATGCTATTTACTGCTTTTAGCAACAAAACTAATTAGATTACTTGCTCTCAGAGCCTCTTCTCAGAACCAGAGATTATAATTGTACTTCCTTTGCAGGGTTGCTACAGAAATTAAAGGACAGGTGTGCCAAGCTCAAACCTAATTCTTCTTTTCACTTACATGGTCATTAAGTTACCATATATTGGTAATGATAACTAGTACAGACCCTTATGCTTCTATTTAGAGTGGGGCTTCCCCACTCCAGCCCCAGACAGTATTTCAATTCCATTTGATTTTATGGGAGTGACTGATAGCCATCTGATTTCAGAAAAATTAGAACTGCAGTTTGGTAGTGTGAACTATATCTCCATTAGTTTTGCAGAGTAATAAGGGAAATGTTACTACTTTATCAACCATGACAAAAAAGAGTCAGATGCTGGTGACTCACACCTGTAACTTTAGCTACTCAGGAGGATGAGGTCTGAGAATGGCAGTTAAAGCCAACTTAGGCAGGAAAGTCTGTGAAACACTTATCTCCAATTAACCACTAAAAACCAGAAGTAGAGCTGTGGTTCAAGTGGTAAAATGTGAGCCTTCAGTTCAAAAGCTAAGGAACAGCACTCAGATCCTGAGTTCTTGCCCCAGTATTGACACACACAAAAAAGTTGATGTGGCTGAAATGGAGATAATTGTGTTTGTCCTAACAGCTACAGTTTCATTTTTTGTAGAGATTATTTATTACAGCAAGTGGTTCTCACCTTTGATTTCTTCAGTTGGCAATCAACCTGGGGCCTGAAGAGTTGTGAAGAGTCCTGATTCTTTTCCACCCACTACATTGCCAGCAAAGGCATAGTGGCTTGCATATAAGTAAGTCTAAAATAACTAATGAAGAAATATCAATGTTGGGGCTGAGAAGGTGGCTCAGTGTTAGAGCGCTTGCCTTGCATGCCTGAAGCCCTGGGTTCGATTCCTCAGTACCACATAAGCAAAAAGAAAAAAGCCGGAAGTGGCGCTGTGGCTCAAGTGGTAGAGCCCTAGCCTTGAGCTGAAGAGCTGAGGGACAGCACCCAGGCCCAGAGTTCAGGCCCCACGACCGGACCCAAAAAAAAAAAAATCTCAGTGTCATCACCATCCGAAGCAAAATGTACAATATCAGAGTAAGGGGGGTTGGCAGTGTGGCTTCATAGAGTAGATGCCAATGAGTGAAAGCATCAGGTATTGACAAGTTCAAGTCCTGGTCTCAGACAAAAAGACAAAATATATTAAGAGATCTTAGAAACATTGTGGGCCAAACACATGGTCTTACAATCACATGATTTCACCCAAATATTGTAGAAGAGGTATTATTTGTGTTGACTAAAAAGTAGACATTTAGGGGAGACAAAACTTTGCCCTGCTTAAGGTCTTAACCTGGGCCTGAGAATTAATTTGCCAAAAGAGAGATTAACAGGAGGGAAGCATACTGATGTTAAAAGGCATGCCGTTTGCATTTCCCCATGGCAAAATCTAAATCCTTAT